TACTCTTTGTCGTTATTTCTTCCTGGTTCCTAAATCATTGCATTCTGCTTTAGGTCTTTCTTTTTGGTGACAATACACTTGCTAAATTTGATTTGCTTGCTCTCTCTCTCACTCTCTCAATATATCTCATGCACACTCACACCGCCTTTACACGGTGCAATTTTTAGCTGGCATTTTTATCAATTCTCTTTTAAAATTTCTGCGTAAATCTTCGCGCCTTTACACGGTGGTATTTTACGATAATAGTGCTTGGCATTTTTTCTGACATTTTATTTTATTCAGTATTTCGTATAGAGCTAATTGTTTGTAACAGATATTTATAAAGAAGTGATTTAAAATTAAGTGTGTGAATCTAAAGAAGAAATGATGGAAAAAGTTATTGAGGTGTTAAATATTGCATTATTAACTTTTATTTTAACTTTCTTTTTTTACTTTTTAATACTTCCAATTAATTTTCATATAATTCAATCACTAAAAACATCACAATAAAAGAAACGCATTAAAAATTGCAATAAAGAAGCGATATGAAATGTCAAAATCATAAAAAATTCGGAAGAAGCAAAAAGAGAAATGCAAAGAAAATGGCATGTAACCCTGTGCGGTGGCTCATCGTGCCATTTTTTCTTCTATCCTTGTCTCTCTACACCTTTTACCAACAAACAAAAATGGCATGGTTAAAAAATGTCACCGTGTAAAGGCAGTGTCACTCACGTCGTACGGTACGCGCTAGACAAAGTCTAATTGTTCAGGGTTGTATTTTGATGGCATTCTCTCACTCACTGCTCTTCCTCTCAATAATTATGACACTACACTGTTAGCCACTTGCCATCTCCTTTCTTCTTTTGACTTTTAAAGGGCTGAAATATTTCGTCACACGTTAGTGGTGCCACTTTTCCACTACTCATTTTTGTTGTTGTTGGAGGTAGAAGAAAGGTTTACACACACCAGCAGCAGCAGGACACCACATAGAAGGAAAAATCGACCAGAAAACGATGTTTGAGAAAACCAACCATCTCTTCTTTTTCCACAGGCCATAAAACCTATGTATGTAAAATGTCTTTTCAAGGATATATGGGCATGGAAAATTCTTATACATTCAATTGCAGTATTTTATAAGCTTTCGATTTGCACAATAATATACTTAGCCATAACATAGTTTAGTTTCACATGCAGACATTTGCCTTCAGTTGCCAACCAAAATAAAAGCATATTTTATTCCTCAGCAAATTTTAATCAATTTTTTTCTCATTTCATCTCACACTTAAACATATTTTTCTGTGCTATAGGCTTTCACATTCACATATACACCACTGAAAAGAACCCGATCTTTTCTCATTCTAATTTGCAAATAACTGAAGTTAGTTATGAAGTGAAGTTATTTCTTATTGTGTATCATAACTTGGACAAATTTTCATTACATTTTTTCAATTTTTTTCGATAATCTACAGCCTTTAAACTCCGTAAATCTTCTTTGCTTCACGGTTTCATATTTTTTCACTGGTAATAAATGTCGCTGCTTCTTCTTCCCACTTGGTTTTTTTTTTCTTTATTCTTTCTTTTTTGCTTTTTCTCTCTATCGATTTTCTTTTCTTTCCCCTTTCTTGGTGTATTTTTTTTTTTCAATTGTCGTTCGACGATTTATATTTCCCTCAACTCTTTCGTACGCACACACACACTCACTGAACTGCACCACACTCAGCAAATATATATATGCAGAGTGGCGAAGAAAAAATGAGACAAACTCAGTTTTTCTATTAATTTTTCTAACAATTTATTAAAACATTTACCGTTTTCGTGGTCAGATGTTATTAACGCTCTCTTTTCATTTATTTGCAGAGTTTAATTTCTTTGTTAAGATTACTTATATTTTTTCTCGTACGGTTCGAACTTATTCCTGGCTGTAATTCTTGAATTTTGTCAGAAAACAATGCCAATGCCAAAGGAATTGACAACGGCGTTTAAGAATGGCAGAAATCTCTGTGGCGGCTATGTGAGTAAAGAAAAGGCGCCGGCTATTTTGAGGAAGTGAAAATAAGTGTGCAAATAATAAGATATGGTTTGTTGTTAGTATTTATGATAGTTCTATGTATTATAAAGCTTCCAGTTATTCTTTTAATAGTAAAAAAAAGTTGTTTCCGCAACACATAGTCTTACATGGCTGAAACGATATGTAACGCCGTTGTCAAATCGAGACTGGTGTATAATTTTTTCACGTTCCTCTTTGTTATTTAATGGCGAAGTTGTACCTAATAAGAATGTGTATTTTATAGTTGAGTAATTTTAAATGGCGTAAACACTATGAAACAAAGATGGCTATATAACATTTTGCTATTTCACATTTATACTGTTGGTACCCTGGTAGAAGAATATAGGTAGACGCATCGAAATATTGTAAAGAGTATGCCAAAATTAGACTAAGCGGATGTACTCTTTGAGGCGTTTATATGAAATCATTAAATTATATGGATCGTACTATCGATTCAAATTAAGTTTTCTAGAATTTTTATTAAATTTTACATGTTTTTTTTAAACATTCCCAAATTTCTTAAAAAATCAATGCATTGGAACAGGCATTTTTCTCCAAGGTGTAAGAATCAGCTGAGCAAAATACAGACCCATTCAAGTCATATCTACAGGGTGAAATGAAAAAACTGTAACCAAGTTCAGACTGCTGTCATTTCCAAGCTTTCGTCCGACAGCTGTTAAAATTATTCCAGTGACAGCTCATTATATTGTTTACAAGCGTACTAAAGCATTTTGGTGAGAATTTTCCAAAAAAAAAAGTTATTCGAGATGGAATTCAAGCGTGATAGTTTGATTTATTTATGTTTAACTGGAAAACCACAAGTGGCTATCTTTAGAGCACTCCAGCATTTAAATATGAATAGTCTACTGTGTCTCGTACCATCGCTCGTTACCGTGATACTGGAAGCGTAGCCCGATGCCAAGGAAGTGGACGGATGAAAACAGCAACATCATCAGAAATGGTTCGCAGAAAGTAAAGAAGCGACTTGATCGAAACCCGCATCGCAGTGGCCGAAAAATGGCTCGGAAGCTGAACATATCGCAACATTCCATTCGGCAAATATTGAAAAATGAGCTTGGGGGTAAACCCATTGAAATTCCAACAAGTGCAAGAACTTACACCGCAACAGAAAGAAAACAGAAGAGAAAGAGCTAAAGAGTTGCTTCGCCTGGCTGAAAGTGGTGAACTGCCGAATTTGGTTTTCTCCGATGAGAAAACATTCGTTGTCCAGCAGTTGGTAAACAAACAAAATGATCGTGTTTACTTGCCAAAGAGGTCAGCTGAAAATGTGCACCTTTGGTTGGCCACCAGAACTCAAGCGCCGGCCATAGTGATGGTGTGGGCCGCCATAATAACCGACGGTCGCTGCTCTCCTCTCGTATTAATCGACCGTGGCATCAGAATAAATGCCGAATATTATCGCGAAAATATTCTGGAGGTTGTATTAAAGCCTTTGGCGTTCGCACCATGGTAGAAAAATACAGGTAGATGCATCAACGCTTGGGAACATTGATATGTCAAAAAATGTTTTTTGAAATATAAGTAGATTTTTATATTTTTTCATTCGGAGGTTATTATATGCGTGTTTTTCAACAATGTTTGCAAATTTAAATAACTTTTCATTCAACATTTCAATACCAAAATTGGTTAGACAGTTCATTGTCCCAGCAGCTGCGTCGATGCGTCCACCTATATTCTTCTACCATGTTTCGCACTCAGCATGCGCCACCCAAGAACGGTTACAGAATGAGGTTCCTCGCTTCATTTCCAGCGCACAATGGCTACCAAAATCTCCAGATATCAATCCGTTGGAGTATTGTGTCTGGAGTATTTTGGAAAGCAAGGCTGGCATTAAATAAAAATAGCAAAGTGTCAATCACCTGAAGCAAACGCTTCGCCGGGAATGGGCCAAAATACCGCTGAGCAACATTCGGGCAGCGTGTGACGGTTTCATTGGCCGTTTGAAGGCCATAATTCGTGTCAAAGGTGAGCAATTCGAACAAATCTAAACTTGCTCTAAAATTTGATGCTATTTCCGACATTTTTTTGCTTTCATCCAATAAAAACGTAAAAATTATGGCGTTTGACTTTGTTGCAGTTTTTTTATCTCACCCTGTATGAATGTAAACAATGAACAAACAAGGCATAATAATGGACTTCCACCAAATATTTTTAACTTATAAGTTTTTCCATAAAAAAGATACTCCCCTAATAAAGGAATACATTTTATTCTCAAATTCTCTCATCGTTTTTAATTTTATTGATAGTTTATTGACATTTTATATTTATTGGTAATATTATAGACATTTATATTACATTCAACAAAACGTCGGCATTTGCAATTACTTTGTAATGGAAAACGGCGGCAGGATTTAAGTGCGACTCTGTAATCCCTTTAAGAAATGTCACAAAATATGCTTAGCCATGACTGCAAGCTTCTTATGTACTTACAACCATGGTACAATGAAGAGAAGGTAGGTCAACTTTGAAAAAATTGCCAGTATAGAGATCTACCTGTTTGGCTTGTAATGTCAGAATTAGTATCAAAACAATAAAAAAACAAACAACTTGTTGCATTTATTTTGAATAAATAATTGAAAACCGCGATAACTGAATGAAAGGTCAACACTTCTTTTCAAAATCATGTACTATATGTCTCTAAAGGACTATTTCGCTACAAAACTCTAGATTTTGTCGATGCATGCGTTGAAATGAACATTTTGAAAACACCCGAATTTGAATGTTTTCTGAACAATTTTTTGTTATTGAAAAGAAAACACATACATAAACAAAAAAAGATGACGTATTAGGCCAAGAAAATAAAAAAATTGAAATCATATGGTAGTTCTGCCCTACCTTGATATCATTGTACCATGCTTACAACCTTACTAGATGATTCTTGCAGGAAATATAACCAGACAGACCTAATAAACAGTTACTTAATTTACCGGGATGGCAACACTCTTCATCCCCAAAAGAATCCAAACATATTTGGGGAAAAATCCCCAATACTGACAACGCTGATTACAGCTCCAATACAAAATAGCAGCACACAATCATAAGGAGCCGAAATAGGGGAGCTAATAGCCCAGAAACGATACAAAAAAAAAAAACAAAATAAACAATAAAAATCGAAAAACCCATACAAAAAAGTCACCAAAAAAATATGAGAACTTATTATTCGGAGTAAACTAAAGCAGCAGCAGCAGCACAAGGCTAAAAGCACAAAAAACGGGGGGAGCGAGCATAACAACTAACATTGAGACGAGATAAGACAGCTGCCATCGGGCTCGGCGGACAGACAGGCACGTGTAATCTTCTATTTCTGTTCGAGACACAACACAGACATCATCATTCAGCATCCAACCATTGTCAAGCATGGAGGAGACCAAGCATTATTTCGAAGGTGTCGAAAAACTGGTGGAAGTGTGGTTTGCAGATCCCCCCCTCAATCCAGATGATGCTGACCTAAGGAAGATTACCAAAGAGACCTGGGATGGTCTGTTGCGAGCGGTCAAATGTGAAATTATTAGCTTCACCAAAAACGAGGAGGTCGATGCCTATGTTCTCAGCGAGTCCAGTATGTTTGTGTCCAAACGAAGATGGATTTTGAAGACTTGTGGCACCACAACACCTTTGAACTGTTTAAAACCAATGATGAAATTGGCAGCCGAAATGGGTTTTGTGGAAATTACGGATTTCTTTTATTCGCGCAAGAACTTTGCCAGGCCAGAATTGCAGCTACTGCCGCATAGATTGTTTTGTGAGGAAGTGAAATTTTTGGACACCATATTCGATGGCGGTCATACCTATTGTTTGGGACAAATCAACAAAGATTGTTGGTACCTCTATACCCTCAGTCATCCGGAAAGGGAACGAGATGATCGGCCGCTCATTGAAATACCCAAAGTTGAGATGAAAGGTTTGTCGGAGCCGGATCAGACCATTGAAATACTAATGGAAAAGCTAGATCCTCGCATTATGAAAATATTCACCAAAGAACTGTGCACGGATGGCAAGGATGCCACGGTGAAAAGTAAAATTAATGAAATCCTACCCGATATGGTAATCGATGATTTTCTCTTCGAACCCTGTGGCTATTCCATGAATGGCATTAACGGCCGTGGTGAATACATGACCATACACATCACACCCGAACATGAATTCTCCTATGTTAGCTTTGAGAGCAACGTCTCCATGAACAATTATACCGATTTAATAAATCGTGTCATCCAAACATTTTTGCCATCGAAATTTATTCTCACCATCTTTGCCAATAAGTCTTCCGAGGCTTATGCCACCATACGGGAATTGGAGTATAACGACTATGGGGTCCAGTGGCAGAGATCTGAAATGCAATGTTGTAACTTCCCCTCCTACAATCTTTTGTTTGCCACCTATACTGCATGTCGAAATCAAGGTGACGGTGAAGAGGAGAAGGGTGAGGGCATGAAATGTTAACGACGAGAGTAAACCTTATACAAAGATGCTATAGCAGAGGATATTGTTAGTTACTAATCTACTACTATTACTACTACTACTACTATGTGTATGTAATTTTGTTTTTAATTTTTAAGTTAATTTTAAAGAAACACAAAAACAAAAATCAAATTGTAATTTTAAAAAACCGAAACTAAGCCGAATAAAATGTGACAAAATTAAAGTCAAACTTTAGCGCAAAGAGACAAGTGTTTTTTTTTTTCATTTTTGAAATGCTTAGCTTAGAACGAGGTTTTTTGTAACTATTGAAGAAGAATTCAGAGATTAAACCTCATGGAATAGTTCAAATGGGTTATCAGTTGACTGATAATTTGTCTAACACGATGTTCTTTTTATTTTTTCAAAAACGGTCTGTGGCAAGATTCATAGTTTATTCAACTTGGTATTTGCAAAAGATTTTTCAAAAGGTCCTCTTATCTTATGGAAATGAGGGTATATATTTTTTATGGTCAGCATAAAATTTGAATTCGATCTAGTATTGAAAATAAGATATATCGTTTCACGTTTTCGTATGGCCCCCATATGGTACCTTCCAATATTTGGTATTTTGATGATTTCAGCTACATTATTCACCGATTTTTTTTTTTCAAGTTTCGCATTTGAATATTGTAATGGCATATGACAAAAGTTGCCCATGCAGGTCCACATCGTCATATAGACACTAATATAACTGCTACTTTCGATATTTTTAAGATTTTAATAGAATTTTTAATGGATTTTATTTTTTATTTATTATTATTATTATTATTTATTTTTAATTATTTCATTTCTAGATATTTAATTCGACCTTTATTATATATTGTTACAAATGTAAATTTAATAAAAAAAACGAGCTCGAGGTCCTTGTTGTTGTTTAATTATTTATTATTTTCGATATTTCGTCCTCCAACGGAAGACATCATCAGGAACAATACTGTTTAAACATATAACAAAGTTTTACAAAATATCGCCAAGCTTCGACGCCGACCTTGTGTTGTAATTAAACAACAACAAGGACCTCGAGCTCGTTTTTTATTAAATTTACATTTGTAACATTATTTATTTATTTTTTTTTGAAAATTGCCAAATTCGTTACAAGACAATTTTCTGTCATAGGCTGTAGTATCCCTTACGAACTTCAAATACCAAATTTGAAATAATTCCGGTAAATAATGTCGCTAAAATCATCAAAATACCGAACATCGGGTGGTAACTTTATATGGGGGCTACATGAAGACGTGGACCTGCACAGACAATTTTCTGTCATAGGTTGTAATATCCATTACGAACTTCAAATACCAAATTTGAAACAATTCCGGTGAATAAAGTCGCTTAAATCACCAAAATACCGAAAAAGGGAGGTTCCCTTATATGGGGGCTATTTGAAGACGTGGACTTGCACAGACAATTTTCTGTCATAGGTTGTAGTATCCATTACGCACTTCAAATACCAAATTTGAAACATTTCCGGTGAATAATGTCGCTAAAATCATCAAAATACCAAATATCGGGAGGTGCCTTTATATGGGGGCTATACGAAAACGTGGACTTGCACAGGCAATTTTCTGTCATTGGCTGTAGCATTCGTTACGAACTTCAAATACCAAAATTGAAACAATTCCGGTGAATAATATCGCTAAAATCATCAAAATGCCGAAAATTGGGAGGTACCTTTATATGGGGGCTATACGAAGGCGTGGACCTGCACAAACAATTTTCTGTCATAGGCTGTAGTACCCATTACGAACTTCAAATACCAAATTTGAAACATTTCCGGTGAATAATGTCGTTTAAATCATCAAAATTCCGAATATAGGGAGGTACCTTTATATGGGGGCTATATGAAGATGTGGACCTGCACAGACAATTTTCTGTTATAGGCTGTAGCATCCGTTACGAACTTCAAATACCAAATTTGAAACAATTCCGGTGAAAAATGTCGCTAAAATCATCAAAATGCCGTTCTGGTGGCCAACGGAAGGTGCAAATTTTCAGCTGACCCCTTCAACAAGTAATCACGATCATATTGTTTTTTCTTTTTTTACAAACTGCTGGACAACGAATGTTTTCTCATCGGAGAAAACCAAATTCGGCAGTTCACCACTTTCGCGCCCAAGCGAAGCAACTCTTTAGCTCTTTTGAGTCTATTTTCTTTCTGTTGCGGTGTAAGTTCTTGCACTTTTTTGTATTTCAATGGCTTTACCCCGAGATCATTTTTTGATAATTACCGAATTGAATATTGCGATATGTTCAGCACACGAGCCATTTTTCGGCTACTGCGACGCGGATTTCGATCAAGTCGCTTCTTTACTTTTCGAACCATTTCAGATGATGTTGCTGTTTTCTATAAATTACAAACAAACAATTAAATTTTCCTCTTTTATAGACAGAAGAAGATTGTTAAAAATCGCTGTAGTTTTGTAATATTTGTTTAGAACTTACGATTCTAAAATCCACGTTTTAGTATCCTCCAAAAAAAATACAAATTCTAATAATTCATGTTTTTGTATTCACCGAAAAATATGAATTTTGAAAATAAACGATTTTGTACCATTCAAAAAATATACATTTTTAGATTATTTTAATTATTCTATGATAGAATCTTCCTTCCTTTCCTCAACGCGTCGCAAAGTAAAGACTTTCATTGAACTAGGTTCGTTGCTCTTTGCGGTGAATTGTTTAATTGAACGTTTTTCTCCCGGAAGAACAAAGAAAAAAACACTTTCCTCATTCTCTCTCTTTGATGAAAGTAACATTGTGTGAACACCGTGTAAAGAAATTTCTTTGGGTTATTTGACAATCGGTTACTTCATGAATACCGACTACCAAATGAAAATTAATGTCAAAATTGACACAACACTTTCCAGTTCTTTTACTTCAAAACGTCGTTGTTGAAACATGGCACCAACTGTGAGTGTCCAATAAATTTATAAAATCCCATTATATTTAGTGAAAAATATTCAATAATTTTCCAATAAAATAGTGCATGCTGGAATTGAGTCTAAGAATCAGTAAAAATTTATGAAAAATATCTTGGGATTGCTAAGAAAACAATGGATTAAATTTGTTGGCAACAGTGTGTAATGGTGGATTTTATTTCCTTTCTAGGCTAAGACCAACAAGGGCGACAAATCCGCCGCTACTGCCAAGAAGGCCGAGCCAGCAAAGGCTGCTGCCGCTCCCGCTAAGGGCAAGGTTGAAAAGCCAAAGGCTGAAGCTGCCAAACCCGCTGCTGCTGCTAAAAATGTAGCCGCCAAGGAAGTTAAGGCTGCCGCCAAGGACGTCAAGGCTGCCCCCGTCAAGAAAGACACCAAGGCTGCCGCTCCAGCCAAGAAGGACGCCAAGGCCGCTGCTCCCGCCAAGGAAGCACCCAAGAAGGAAGCCAAGGCTGCCGCCAAGCCCGCTGCTGCTGCTGCTCCCGCTAAGAAGGCTGAACCCGCCAAGACCGACAAGCCCGCCGCTGAGAAGCCACACAAGGCTGTTGTTGCCAAACCAGCTGCTGCCAAGCCCAAGAAGTCTGTGACTGCTGCTGCTGCCGCCGCCACTGGCAAGGTTGGCAAGAAGGCTGTATTGCGTGGCAAGGGCCTCAAGAAGAAGAAGGTCTCTTTGCGTTATGCCATTGACTGCACCAACATTGCTGAAGATAACATTTTGGATGTTGTTGACTTCGTAAGTAATTTAAAAGAACCCCCACGACCAGCACCCATGATGCTATGCAGCATCAGTAGACCGATAATGTGTTCATCAATATATGGTGGCCTTTACGGCCGTTATATACTTTGCTTTCCTCCTTGACCTTGAAGGTAAGGTCTCCCCCTTCCGGTTCTCAACGAACAGATAAAAATTTGAATGTGTTGGATATAAAATGTCCACACACACACAATTGTTTCTCTATTGAAGAGGGGCTCTGGATATAGCACAACGGGGTAGCCCTTGACTGCCAGAACAGGGTCTGGCCAGGGGTGCAACCGGCTGTGAACTATATCAAGTCGTGCTATGTGTACCGCCAAGTGGTGGGCCCTGGGTTGGGAACACTTGCACCCGCAAGTGCCTAAGCCAAGACACATAGTGCGCCCTGCCAAAACGTGTTTCCAAGTTGGACGTTGCAGGATTCCCATATATGCAAGCAAAGTTCTGTGTCTCCAAGTATTCTTCACGCCCAACACCAAAGATGGGCGTTCATCTAAAATATCTTTAATGAAGAAGAGACGTAGTCTAAGCAAAAGACAAGGTCAATACAGGTAAACATTCTAAAATATATAGTCTTTCCTTTTTTGGTCCTAAGTTAAAAAATTTATATTTGGAATACTTCTTAAAATTCGTCTCTGTAACCAAAGGCCACGACTTGATTTGTTTTCAGAGAGTGATTACCCTCGCTCTGAGGACAGTGTACTCTGTGGCAGATTAAAAATCAAAAACTCCTTCAATATTTGGTTTTTAAATTATCACCCAGATTTAATAGCTTAACAATGGAAGAGACAAAATATCAAATCATATATAATTACAGAGACGAGTTTTGAAGCGGTACCATCCATCCTATTTGTCATGAAAGTATTTCCATTTATTTGTTTTTTCTCGATATTTTTTGTCAATTTAGGAAAAGTACATCAAGAGCCGCATGAAGGTCAACGACAAAGTCAACAACTTGGGCAACAATGTCACCTTTGAACGCGTCAAGATGAAGTTGTATGTAAACTCTGATGTCCACTTCTCCAAGGCCTACTTGAAGTATTTGACCAAGAAATACTTGAAGAAGAACAGTTTGCGTGATTGGATCCGCGTCGTCGCCAATGATAAGGACTCTTATGAACTCCGTTACTTCAGAATCAACTCCAACGATGATGAAGATGAAGACGCCGAGTAAGAAGTTACTTTTTGTTTTACAAATTATAATCAGATGAGAGCTTTTTGATAAAGTTTTAATAAAACAACAAAACAATATAGTTAACTTTATTTTAGAAGTTAAATGCTTTTGTTTTTTATCGGTTCTTTGGGTACCAAAAAATAAGGGGATTTGGCTATGAATATAGATACCTGCTATTAGATGTTCTGTATATAGGCACTTTAAGGATATTTTGTGTAATGCAAACCCTCGAATGATCTTCCATGGACCTTTGAAATATTTTCCATTTATGTAGAACCTGTGAGAGCTGTTCTCTTTGGATTTAGAACGATCTTTTGTCCGTAAAAGGCCTTTGAAAAGTCTTACCTACAGAAGAACTTTGAATTTTCTATAGAAGGCCTTGAAAAAAGCCCATCTCAATACAGAGCTACCTGCGGATAGATCTTCTGTCTATTGTGGTTTGAAGGGTATCCTGTCTGTAGAAGATCTTTGAAAGATTCTCCATGAATGTTGGAGAGGTATATCTGTATTTAGGGCCTATGAACGTGTTTTTTATACCCTCCACCATAGTATGGAGGGTATATTATGTTTGTCATTCCGTTTGTAACACCTCGAAATATACATTTTAGACCCCACCAAGTATATATACTCTTGATCAGCATAAAATTCTGTCAATTTAGCGATGCCTGTCCGTCACTCTAGCCTCCGAACGAAACGAAGTAGGTTGATAAAATTTTACTCAAATGTGTATTATGTCTGCAGGACTTTTGGTATGGGAAATAGGTGATGTAGGTCCACGTTTTGGCGTAGCCCCCATATAATGGCACCTCCCTTTTTTCGGTACTTTGGTGATTTATGCGACATTAATCACCGGATATGTCTCAAATTTGGTATTTGAAGCTCGTAATGAGTAGTAGAGCCTATAACAGAAAATTATCTGTGTAGGTCCACGTTTTCGTATAGCCCAAATATAACGGTACCTCCCTATATTCGGAATTTTGATGATTTGAGCTACATTATTCGTCGGAATCCTTTAAAATTTGGTATTTGAAGTTCGTAACGGATGCTACAGCCTATGACAGAAAATTGTTTGTGCAGGTCCATGTCTTCGCATAGCCCCCATATAATGGTATCTCCCGATATTCGGTATTTTGGTGAATTTAGCTACATTATTCACCGGAATTGTTTCAAATTTGGTGTTTGAAGTTCGTAACGGATGCTACAGCCTATGACAGAAAATTGTCTGTGCAGGTCCATGTCTTCGTATAGCCCCCATATAACGATACCACCCTATATTCGGTATTTTGATGATTTTACCTACATTACTCACCGGAATTGTTTCAAATTTGGTGTTTGAAGTTCGTAATGGATACTACAGCGTATGACAGAAAATTGTCTGTGCAGGCCTACGTTTTTTGATTTTAGCTACATTATTCACCGCTTTTTTTTAAGAATCGCATTTGAATATTGTAAGGGCTTATGACAAAAGTTACCTATGCGGGTCCATGTCGTTGTATAGGCCTAAAAAAATTAACGGATGCTATTGTTTTTAAGAATTGCCAAATTCATTCCAAATTACGTTTTTTCTCTTTTTTAATTTTCAAAATTATCTAAATACTTTTACAATTGGTAAAATATGTTTTCTAGTGGCCTTAATGTTATCCTGCTTATAAAATACACCACTCATAAATTTGCAATCCTCATGCAGCTTCAGCAACAATTTCGGTTCTTCTGAATGTTCGAGTTTTTCTTTTATATCAACAAAAAGTGTGGCATTTTCAATATTTATTAAACCCAAATCACGATGGACACTATTATCCTCCGGTTTAACGTACATGCCCATAAGCAGAATTATTTGACAGGAATTTTCCTCGGCAAATTGTTGAACGTATTGGCTGGCATTTGATTTCATGATAAATTCTTGGACGGGTAGAGGAAATCCTGGCAAGGCTATTTTAAGATTTCCATCTTTTTTGCTTGTTATGATTTTAAGGTCTTTTCTCAAAAGTTGGGCCGGTGTCAAGGCGCTAACATCGGAACGGGCCTTGACCAGATTATTAAATAGGTCAGCTCTCGGCAGCAAAGAAGGATTTAAGATTTCTAGAGTACTTTCCAATTTCGAACAAATGTCCACATCTTTTGGGGTGGCTCTGGCCGCCTCTTCGGAAAAATTCACTGTATCCAAAACAATTGCACTACGTAACAATTCCAAAGCCATTTGTTCTTCGCCTCCAAGTATATTGTTTTGTATAAATAATTCGGCTATAAGCGAGGCACAGGACCCAACTATTTGTATATTGATATCACAATTTTCAGGAAAATTTGCCATTGCATCTTTGGGACGATGATCATAAATCGCCACAGCATTCTTCAACACGGGGCTGACATGATGATCCACAAGAACCAAATTGTTCTCCTTCATAAATTCCTCTGTCAATTCATCGCGAAAGGTAAGTAAGTCATCGCCAATGTTGTATTGTTTGAAAAGATAATGTACCTCCGTTTTGAGTGGATAATCTCGACGGGGTATATTTAAAATGGGTAGGAAGTTACAGCCATTCCTGCAACTCTTTGGTGCCAATTTACTTTTGTGATAGAAATAGGCCAAGCTAACAGCCGATACCGCCGAGTCAAGGTCACAAGATTCATTGCCCAGCACAATACAGCAGTGTTCCTAAAGCAAACAGATAAGTTGCAGCCGGAGTTAGTTATATCAAAACTCACCTTTGCATTGAGGAATTTTCTGCTCTGCCTTAAGAAGTTCAGCATTTGAATGACCCACTCACTCAAAGGAAGGAAAACCGAATTGACTACCTCGTCTGCCTGCTAGGCAAAGAAAATGCTTCATAGATACAATAAAAGTAAATAAATTAATAATATTTTCCACTAATTGGCTAATTGGTTAATGAAAGTTAAGTTAGGTCGATTTGATCTTTGTTCATGTTTATTGTTCTTTAAATCACGCACAATCTCAACAATCACACACACATTTGTTCTACATTTATCATGTTTGTTCATAAATTTTTATACGAAATACATTAAAAAATTAAGTAAATAATTAGCAATTTACCAAATCGTTGCCAAATAACGAACGAAGAAACTGCGATATGGCAACGCTGAAACGAAAGACAACACAGAGAGAAAATCGAAATAAAGATGGAATCAAAAGGGAAAGGCGGACAACACAAAAGGAATCAAAACAAAACGGCCGACAACACTGAAACAGATGTTTAAAATATGGGTTATCATTTTACGATGATTAGCAAACAATTTGCTATCGATTCTTTGTGATTAGCAGAGACCACCATGCATTGTGACTTTCAAACGGTGTTCACATAACATTTGAAACCCACAAATTTTGTAACGGAATTTACGGAATTTAGTAGAATAGTAGTGGAATTTTTCAATTTTTTTGCCATTTTTGATGTCATGGAATCAAAACAAAAAGCTTGACAACTTAAGTGCTCCCTAGATCGAAAGTGTTTTTTGCCAACGAAAAATAAAAACGTTCCAAGCCGTCATCGACAGCGTTTGCATCAGCTGGCTGGCTGCCGCCGTCGAAAAAGTCGTTTATCTCATTGCCATTAGTTCTGTAGTCCTCGTTTGTGAACCAAAACATTTCAATTTCAACTATTCAGTTATAGAATTAAATAAAAAATTAAAATAAAAAAATAATAGAATAAAATAAATTAAAATGACCAAATAATTCCCCTACCTCGAATAGACCCGAAAAATTTGTGAAAAATGTATTTCCAATTTATTACAGGATTTTTTTTTATTCTTGTGGGACGGACAACAATGCCGAAATATTTGACCCGAAGTTTCGGCTTTGAGACATGGATCTAATAAAACTATATGCATTACTTATATTTAAAAGCTTGCATATTTTTATACCCTCCACCATAGTACGGAGGGAATATTAAGTTTGTCATTCCATTTGTAACACCTCGAAATATACATTTTAGACCCCACAAAGTGTATATATTCTTGATCGGTATAAAATTCTATGTCGATTTAGCGATGTCCGTCTGTGGAAATCACTCTAGCTTCCGAATGAAATCAAGTAGATTGATAAAATTTTACTCAAATGTATATTATGTCTGCAGGACTTTTGGTATTGAAAATGGGTGATGAAGATCCACCTTTTGGTATAGCCCCCATATAATGGTATCTCCCGATATTCGGCATTTTGATGATTTTACCGACATTATTCACCAGAAATGTTTCAAATTTGGCATTTAAAGTTCGTAATGGATGCTACAGCAGTAGACAGATAACTGTCTGTGCAGGGGCACGTCTTCGTATAGCCCCCATTATGACGGTACCTCCTGATATTCGGTATTTTGTTGATTTTTGAGACATTATTCACCGGAATTGTTTACAATTTGGTATTTGATGTTCGTAATGGATACTACAGCCTTAGAAAGAAAATTGTCTGTGCAGGTCCATAATTTTCTTTTTTATTTTGATATTAAAATACATTTATTTCTTAAATTGTTTTAGAATATTTCTCTGTAAATTTCATTTATATATTACATTATATAGTTTTTTACATTAATTTTTCGCCTTATAATAGTTACCTCATTATAAGTTATAAATAATAAATTTCCTTCCTTCCTTCCTTGCTACAATTGAGGCTCCGCTGGAACATCTTCACTTTCCCCCATTTCATCATCGGCACATTCCAATGTTAAATCTTCCAACATTTCGGCCAAAGTGATGCGTGGCACATTATCCTTGTAGCCCAAGGTGTCACCATCATCCACGGGCACTTGTTTCTTTGAATCACGATAGATATTCACTGACTTACGATAATCCGGATCCTCTTCCAAATCCTCCAAGAATTCATGATAATCTGGTTTGCTGCGTTCATCGGTTGCCTCCTCGGCCAAATGGCGCAATTTCCATAAACGTTGATTACTTCTTGTATTACGATCGGTATAGCATTTCTTTACCAAAACCACATCGGGTATGTGTTCAGCATTTAGCTTATCATATTCATCATTATTTATGTTCGCCTCACCCAAATTGTAACCCATAACGGAATCGCCAACCTTCAACAAATGTCCCAAATGACTGCGTGTATGTATGGTATTGTCGTTGATGCCCAACTCGGAGGCTCGCACAACCCATATATCACAAAGAACATGACGGAAAGACAATTGTCCCTGGCCAGGATAGTATTTACGATCTTTGTCTAAAATGATTTCCACATCCATGACTACATACTCGACAAGTTGTTTGGGATTGCATATGGCCTCGAATGGAGAACGGAAATAGGCCTGACCTGAAACTTCAGCAATTTGGGCAGTCATTGGATCAATTAAATGTATGCCACTGGTTACTTTGTTGATCAAACATATGGGCGACAAGTTACCCAATTGTTGGCGCAACTTCTTGGGCAGACAAACTGCACTATCTTTGGACAAGGGTACAATTTCCACAGACCAGGTGTATTTGTAATTGAAACTATTGCTGTGTATGTCATGAGAGATGAGACGCTTTGAGGATGTCACTTTGACCGGCACCATTGTCTGCAGGAAGTCCACCATTTTACGGGCATGATTTTCGCTGGCATAATAAAAATCCAAACCACCATGCATCGGCTTTATGCCCAAGGTATTTTCATGGGCCTTGTGTTTCAATATCAACTGTTCCAAGTAAAAGAATGTCTTCTTATTCTCAGCACGTTGGCGTACCTGCACCATGCAACGCCAAAAATCTTTGGCCTCCGTGCGATGACAATCATCGCACATTTGATTTTGAACAGTAAACTCAACGATGAACACTTGCTGCAATACCGTTCCTCCGGAAACCTCTCCATGTACAGTCAACTTTACCTTAATACGTTTCGAATGGGCTTCGGTCCACACAAAACCAGCATCAACAAGTTTCACCTCCTTCAGGCCTTTGAGCTTTTTCAAGCACAACGCCAGCAATTCTCTTGACTCCAAAGCAGCTTGTATCCATTCTCCTGGAGGCTGTAAGTAACGTTCACAGTTGCGACAGAAATGCAATACCGCCTGTTTGGGTATTCCCTCGGTAATGTCAACATGATTGCGCAGGCAAGTGACGCACATATTTGAGGGATTCGGCTGTATGGCCACACCACATTCACAGCACAATACCATTGATGTTGGGGTATTGGTGGCCGCCGTGCCGGTGGCACCAGAAAAATCAACGTATTCCATAATTTAAACTCTTTATTTTACGTAGTATAATTTTTTTAATTTTGTCGATGTTGACCAGCAGCAAGAAACGAAAACAAAACACGTGTGTGGTGTAAATAAAAGATTGACAGTTCAACAATGCCAGAGTCAGTTTGAAGATTACAACGCCGTTATTACAATAACCTAATGTATGGTGCATCTTCATTGTTAACGGAGAAAAATTGAGTTTTTTTATATTATTACCATGGTAGAAAAATACAGGTAGATGCATCAACGCTTGGGAGCATTGATATGTCAACATTTTTTAAATTTCTTTTCAAATATAAGTAGATTTTTATATGTTTTCTTATACGACACAAATCGTGGGTTGTAAAGATATGCATTTTTCAACAATTTTTACAAATTTAAAAAAATTTTCATTCAACATTTTTAATTCCAAAATTGGTTTGACAGTTCATTGTCCCAGCAGCTGCGTCTACCTATATTCTTCTACCATGATTATTACCATGGCACACAAAAAAGGTAAGGTGTGCCCGACTTCTGACAATTTTGAATATGTTTTTATTGTTTTAAAAAATGAAAACAAAATATTTTCATTTCATTTTCGCGCATTAAAGTTTTTAACCAGTTTAGCCATGAAATTGAAAGAACCGTTTCAATCATGTTTTTTGAGAGAAAATCCAGGTATTTTATATATTTTCGCGCTATTTAACTCATATTAAAAATGAGTCAAAATATGATAAAATTAAAACAACTTATGTATGTAATTTTGAATGATTCTGGCAGGATTTCTGTAGTTTTAGAAGCTGTTCTACCTCCTTATTGTACCATGTATAATATTAATGTCGCCGTTCCTATAAGATTTGATCCTTTATATTTTAATGGCGAAATATGAATGCAATGCTCTGTTCCAGAACCGGCAGGAATCTGCTAGTTTCACATTCTTGCGGTTCTGGAATACAGGCCATAAATGAAAACTTCTCAAGCGTTTCTTGATATAAATTTTAATTTAATTATAAGGTGAGATAAACGCCACAATTTTAATTTTTTTAAATTTTATTGAATGAAAGCTAAAAATGTCGGAAATAGCATCACATTTTAGAATAAGTTTAGATTTGTTGGAATTGGTCACCTTTGACAAGTATTATGGCCTTCAAACGGCCAATGAAACCGTCACACGCTGCCCGAATGTTGCTCTGCGGTACTTTGGACCATTGCCGACGAAGCGCTTTCTTGGGGTGATCGACACTTTGGTGTTTTTTAGTGACAACCATGTTTTCCAAAATACTCTAGACACAATAGTTCAACGGATTGATAACCGGAAATTTTGGCGGCCATTGTGCGCTGGAAATGAAGCGAGAAACCTCATTTTGTTACCATTCTTGGGTGGCGCGTGCTGAGTGCGATGATGGTACTGAGTTCTGTTGGAATGTCCAAGGTCTGCAGTCAAAATGTTTGGCTTTAATACACCCTCCAAAATATTTTAGCCATAATATTCGGCATTTATTCTGATGCCACAGTCGATTAATACGACCGGAGAGCGACCATCGGCTGTTGTGGAGGCCCACACCATCACCATGGCCGGCACTTGAGTTCTAGTGGCCAACCGAAGATGCACATTTTCAGCTGACCTCTTTGGCAAGTAAACACGATCATATTGTTTGTTTACAAACAGTTGGACAACGAATATTTTCTCATGGGAGAAAATCAAGTTCGGCAGTTTACCACTTTCGGTCATGCGAAGCAACTCTTTAACTCTTTTGAGTCCATTTTCTTTCTTTTGCGGTATAAGTTCTTGCACTTTTTGGAAAATCAATGGCTTTAGCCCGAGCTCATTGTTCAATATTTGCCGAATGGAATATTGCGATATGATGTTCACCTCACGAGCCATTCTTCGGCCACTGCGACGCGGGTTTCGATCAAGTCGCTTCTTAACTTTTCGAACCATTTCTACTGATGTTGCTGTTTTCTTCCGTCCACTTCCTTGACGTCGGGCTACGCTGCCAGTATCACGGTAACAAGCGATGGTACGAGACACCAAAGATTTATTCATATTTAAATGCTGGAATGCTCTAACGATAGCCACTTGTGGGTTTCCAGCCAAATATAAAGAAATCACACTATCACGCTTGAATTCCATCACGAATATTTTTTTGTGAAAAATTCTCACGAAAAAGCTTTTGAATGCCTGTAAACAATATAATGAGCTGTCAATGGAATAATTTTAACAGCTTTCGGACGAGTGGCTAAGAAATGACAGCAGTCTGAAGTTGGTTGCAGTTTCTTCATCGCACCCTGTACTTTTTTATCATGGTAGAAGAATACGTTGTGATCATTGATATGTCAAACATTTTAAATTTTTTTCGAAAATAAGTATATTTTTATATGTTTTCTTATACGACGCCAATCGGGGGTAGTTATGATATACATTTTCAAAAATTTTAACGAATATGTCACACAATTTATAAAAATCTACTTATATTTGAAAAAAAAAAAAAAAAACATTTAAATTTGTTTGACATATCAATGCTCTCAAGCGTTGATGCATCTACCTGTATTCTTCTGCCATGAAACATGCTTTTAAAAACATTTTAATAGCACGTTTACATTGTGATGTTTCTAAATTGACCACATCATTATATATTCTGCAAAAACTCTTTTAGGCCGCCAAAAAAACTCTACCATAAACAATTGAAATGTTTTTTTTTCAAATTAAAATAATTTTTTTCAAAAAAAATAATAATATTTATTAAAAATATATTAAAACAAAAAGTTGTACTTATGAACACATTATTGCACTGATTGCAATGAAAAAAACCCGACCAAATTAATAAGTTTTGCAACTTCAAGTAAATATTGAAAAATATATCAATATTGTTCAATTATAGGATATATCGATCGATATCCTGCAACTATTCTAAATTTTCCATCAATCACTTGGTTTGTCATCTTTTATCTTCTGTTTCATTTTCATTTATTGTCGATCCCAAGCTGGCACTTTCATCTAATCTTTCAGCAAGATCAACATCCGTGCTGTTGTCTTCCTCACCCATTTCTGTTTGCGGTTTCGTCTTATCTCCATAAACATTTATATTCTTTCGCAACTCGGCGTCCTCTTCTAGATCTTCAATGAAATCAAGTTTATCTTTGACCAGACTTTCATCGACCGCACCATAGGTCAAATGTTTTAATTTCCAAGAACGCTTCTTATTGCCCGCTTGTCGATCGTGCAGTTTTCTCACCAAAATAATGTCGGGAATTTGATGACTTTTAAGTTTTTCAAATTCCTGCTCATTTATATTAGCCTCTGTCATGCTGTAGCCCATTACGGAATCGCCAACATTTAAGATGTGTCCCAAATGAGATCGGGCATGTATTGTATTGTCATTTGTGCCCAGTTGGGAGGCACGTACCAACCAAACATCACACAATAAGTGGCGTTCCGACATGTGTATTTGCCCCTTGGTGGCTGATGATGGTTTATGAGATCCCTGTTGCACTGGTTCAATATCCATTACGATGTACTCCACTAACTGCCTAGGATTACATATAGCCTCGAAGGGAGAACGAAAATAATTGAGACCATTTAGTTCGGAAATCTGTCCGGACACGGGATCAATTAAATGCATGCCATGGGTTACACGATGCACCAAACACAAGGGTGGTATATTGCCCAAGATGTGACGAAATTTAGGAGATAAACACACCAAACTGTCCTTGGAGAGCGGGGCAATTTCCACCGACCATGTGTACTTATAATGATGGATGTTGCTATTCTTGTCGTGGGATATTAGACGCCTTGATGAAGTCACCTTCACCGGTACCATGCTCTCCAAAAAGTTCACCAATTTCCGCGCATGATTTTCTGTGGCAAAATAAAAATCTAAACCACCATGCATTGGCTTGATGCCCAGGGTGTTTTCGTGCGCCTTGTGCTTAAGTATCAGCTGCTCCAAATACAAATAGGTTTTCTTATTTTCAGCATGCTGGCGAACCTGGACCACACAACGCCAATAATCCTTCGCCTCAACACGATGACATTCGTGGCACATTTGGTTTTGTATGGTATATTCCACAATGGCACCTTGTCGCAGCGAAGAATGGTCCGCCTCATTACCCTCCACAACCAGTTTAACCTTGATCCGCCTGGAATGTTTCTCTGTCCATATAAAGCAGGCATCGATTAAGTGTAGATCTTTCAAACCTCTCACCTTTTTCAGGCACAACCCCAGCAACTCTCGTGATTCCCATCGGGCATTTATCCATTCACCGGGTGGTTGCAGATACCGTTCACAATTCCGACAGAACTGCAATTCGACTTGTTTCGATATATTGGCCGTAATGTCTAGGTGATCACGTAAACAACTCAGACACATATTATGAGAATTAGACTCAATTCTTACTCCACATTCACAACAGAGAATTGTATTTCTCTTGATCTGCACCGTCTCTCCGCTTGCATTTTTATTGGGTGAACCTTTTGCATTGAAGTCAACGTACTCCATTATCTGCACTTGAGACCCGGGCGCTACGTGTTATAGATATAATGTTGACAAAAAGAGTATTTTTGGGTGATTAATTTAGGTGCCCGATTAAGTGGTGGCAATCCCACAGTCCCACTCTTGAAAGCTCGCTCGGAAGAATTTCACCATTTTAGAAATCTCACCAAAATAAAAAACGTCCCAAGCATTCAAAGCAAAGAAAACAGATGGGAATTTGTTTGTTTGTTGAATTTGTTTTGTAGTAGTCGGCTGTGAAATGTTTGTGCAAAGCAGCCGCTGATTGGTAGCAGCCGTCGCCGCCGCCGAAAAAATCCTTCCGCTTCGATGTTTGGGTTATATACAAGGTGGTGCAAAAGTAATCCTCCTATCAGAAAATGCTATCAATTTTACGATTGGACTTAACGTCTTAACTACAGCCAAAAAAAAAAAAAATCGGAGGTTTACTTTTGTGCCAGTGGGTTTTTCCTCCAAAAATTAATTTTGTCCTTAATTTTACAACTTTCATTCATGTTTGCATTTTTTGTCGATACAAACATTTTGAAGATAGTGCCTTTTTTTGTTTCCAGCTTTCTGCGAAAATTCCAACCCTTGGACAAAAATCCTACCTCGGATGAGGGAGAAAAGAAAACTTTCTTTCACTTGAATGTACAGAGTGAGATGAAAAAACAGCAACCAACTTCAGACTGCTGTCATTTCTAAGCCACTCGTCCGACAGCTGTCAAAATTATTCCTGTGTGCCTATTATATTGTTTACAGGCGTGCAAAAGAATTTTCCAGAAAAAAAGTTATTCGTGATAAAATTCAAGCGTGATTTCTTTATATTTGGCTGGAAAACCGCAAGTGGCTACCGTTAAAGCACTCCAGTATTTAAATTTGAATAAATCTTTTGTGTCACGTAGCATCGCTCGTTACCGTGATACTAATAACGTAGCCCAACGTCAAGGAAGTGGACGGAAGAAAACAGCAACATGGTTTCGAAAAGTAAAGAAGCGACTTGATCGAAACCCGCATCGCAGTGGCCGAAAAATAGCTCGTGAGCTGAACATATCGCAATATTCCATTCGGCAAATATTAAAAAATAAGCTCGGGGTAAAGCCATTGAAATTCCACAGAGTGCAAGAACTTACACCGCAACAGAAAGAAATCGTCTCAAAAGTGCTAAAGAGTTGCTTCGCTTGGCCGTGAAAGTGGTGAACCGAATTTGGTTTTCTCCGATTAGAAAACATTCGTTGTCCAGCAGTTTGTAAACAAACGAAATGATCGTGTTTACTTGCCAAAGAGGTCAGCTAAAAATGTGCACCTTCGGTTGGCCACCAGAACTCAAGCGCCGGTCATGATGATGGTGTGAGCCACCATAACAGCCGAAGGTCGCTCTCCGCTCGTATTAATCGACCGTTGCATCAGAATAAATGCCGAATATTATCGCGAAAATATTCTGGGGGGTGTATTAAAGCCTTGGGCACGCAAACATTTTGGCTGCAGAACTTGGACATTCCAACAGGACTCAGAACGCCCCATCCAAGAATGGTTGCAAAATGAGTTTCCTCGCTTCATTTCCAGCGCACAATGGCCACCAAAATCTCCGGAAACCAATCGTTGGACTATTGTGTCTGGAGTATTTTGGAAAGCAAGTTAGGCACTAAAAAATACCAAAGCGTGTATCACCTCAAGCAAGCGCTTCGACGGGAATGAGCCAAAATGCCGCAGAGCAATATTCGGGTAGCGTGTGACGGTTTCATTGGCTGTTTGAAGACCATTATTCGTGCCAAAGGTGACCAATTCGAACAAATCTTAACTTATTTTAAAATTTGATGTTATTTCTTACATTTTTTTTCAATCATTCAATAAAGTAAAATAAGAAATGTAAAAATCATGGCGTTTGACTTTGTTGCAGTTTTTTTATCTCACCCTGTACATGCGCCATTCGACATAATCATGATCTTCATTCTTTCTGAAATTTTTTAAAATTTCATACAATTTCTCTATTTTGCAATGCTCACATTTAATTGCAGTTCTGAGAGTGATTTGAATGGAACAAAGAACAAAAGTGTTTGCTCGCTCAGCAAACTTTGTGTGGGGGATTAAGTAGATATTTAATAATTAAGGGTCGAACAACGAATAGAGACCGAATCACATGTCATGTGAACTTTGCATAAACTTTGCATATCGTATTCGATTATTACCTCTTGTGATTATTTAAAATTGTTCGATTAGTCCTAAAAACGAACTATAGAACCCTAGTCAAGCATAAAAATGAATCTGTGTTGAAAAATACTTCGATCCTTGCTGGTTGGTAGTGGTATCAGCATTTTTGGTGTCACTGAATCTTGGCTTAATTCTGCAGTCTCATCGAAATCGTTGGTTGTTCCAGGATATAAGCTGGTGCGGAGTGATCGTGTTGGTCGTGTTGGTGGTGGGGTATGTCTCTATATTGGTAGTGGCATTCCTTATAAGGTAGTTTTTCGCTCAAATAATTTTGGTGTTTGTGAGTCGGTGTGTGTTGAGTTGAATATTGGGGCATTGGTTTTGCTTGTGGCGGTAGTATATCTTCCCCATGGCGATGTTCAGTCTTTCTGTGATGTACATGAGAGTTTGTTTGATCGCTTCTCTAATATCATTGTCCTTGGCGATTTTAACTGTAATTTATTTGTGTCTTCGAACTCTGTTTCGATGAGAGGATTATGCAGATCATTGGGGCTAACTATTGTGCATAACATGAAACCTACCCATTATGATTTGGCCCATAACTCTACCTCGTTAATTGATTTTTGCCTTACTAGTGATAATTTGTCCTTGGGTTTCTCATCTCAGGGTCGATGTCCTGGTATATCGCACCATGCCTTTGTTTTTGGTTCGCTTAACCTGCCTGTATTTTCAGAGGAGAGATTTATTGAGTATCGTAACTTTGGCCGAGCGGATTGGTTGGGCATTTTAAATTTCATATCCGATTTTGACTTCAACCCCTTATATTCCACTTCTGATGTGAATTGTCAACTTTCACTATTTGATTTGTTGTTTAACGCGCTATTGTCTTTCGTTCCTGTTTCTGTTCGTAAGGTCAACCCCAGGAATGATGCATGGTTGGAATCTGATGTGGTAAAATCGGCACGGATGTTTAGAGATCTTGCGTACTTTGAGTGGCGCAAGCGACCTATGGAGGGTAATAGAATAATATATTGTATGTATAGGAATCGTTGTAAGGCTGTGATGAGGAATGAGAGGCGTAAGTACTATAATGATCTCTTTGGTCGTATGAATAATAATCAGCTGTGGAAATCTCTAAAGTCGTTTGGTGTTTTGGGTAGTGATAATGAAGCTCCACCAATTGATGTCAATGCTGCTAATCATTATTTTTCCAGTGGGAATCCTGGTTTTGTGGGTGAGCGTGGTCAGTCTCTTTATAGTGAGGGTCATGTGGGAGATGATGTTTTTCGGTTTTATTGCATATTTTATTCTGATGTTGTAAGGTCATTAAATAAAGTTAAGTCGGGAGCTGTGGGGGTTGATGGCGTGCCAGTAAAGTTTTTTAAACTTATATTTCCATACATTTCCTGTCATTTCCTGCATTTTGTTAACTCGATTTTTATGACATCTACTTTTCCTCGGGCGTGGAAGGTTGCACGAATTGTTCCTGTGCCGAAAACTGGTGAATCATTTGATTTGCCGAATCTGCGTCCCATTAGCATTCTACCTGCTATGTCAAAAATCGTTGAGCATATTATTAAAGAAGCGATTGTTGACTTCCTTGATGATCGTAGGCTATTGAGTAGTTCTCAGTTTGGTTTTCGGCGGCGATGTAGTACGACCACGCACTTATTATATCTTACTGACATGATCAGAGATGTATTTAATTCATCTGATGTTGGGTTATTATTGGGCCTTGACTTGTCAAAGGCTTTTGATTCGATAAACCATTCCCTTTTACTTGACAAGCTGAGGTTTAAGTTTGGTTTTTCATCTTCTGCGTGTCGTTTAATGGCTTCATATTTGGAAGGTAGGTCTCAGTTTGTTGTTCATTTGGGTGTTTCGTCTGAAGTTTGTAGTGTCCAATGTGGAGTCCCGCAAGGTTCTGTACTGGGACCGTTGTTATTTATTATGTTCATTAATGACATTGTGCACTCAGTTGTTGATGACAGGTGTTGTCTGTTTTTGTATGCAGATGATATTCATGTTTTCTTCAGAGAGGCTGATATTGCTGGGTTGGAAGGGTTGGTTAATTCTATTGTTTTGTCTCTTTCGTCGTGGATTTCGCTAAATGGCCTTATGATTAATTGGAATAAAACTAAAGCTATGCTGTTCAATGATCATGGTAATGGTGGTTCTCTTAATATTACTGTGGGTTCTGTGTTAGTGAAATTTGTTGATGAAATGAAATGTCTTGGTGTTATAATTGATCGGAAGTTGGACTTTAAGAGACACATTGATTCCTTGCTTTGTCGTATAAGGTTTCAGCTGCGGAGGCTGTATTGTCTTAATGCTTATTTGCCTTGTCATGTTAGGAAGAGAGTGGTTGTATCCTTGCTGCTATCGCAGGTAAATTATTGTCTAGAGGTAGTCTCCGGTACTACTTCTTCTCAAATGCAACGTATCCGTAGGGCGGTAAATTCGATTGTTCGTTATGTGTATGGCTTGCGTCGTGGTGATCATGTTTCTTGTTTTGTTAATGATCTCCTGGGATTGCCATTTAGCAGCTACGTTGATCTTCGTATTCTTCAATTTCATTACAGTGTTATGTGCAATTTTGACTGTCCTCTTCGTGACAACTTTTTGTTTTGTAGATCATCTCGAAATCCTCAATTGTTGTGTCCAAGGTTTTCGTCCTCCATTGGTGAGAGATCATTTGTGGTTAGGGCGGTGAGATTGTGGAATCAGCTTCCTTTGGCCTTACGTACTTTTGCCCATACCAATTATCTGTTTAGGGTTAAAGTAATTGAATACCTTCGCCTAAATATGTAGGCTATGTTTTTGTAGTGGTTGCGTCGGTTTATTATGGGTCTTTCTTTTTGCTTTTCTTTTTGTTTGGGCTGGGGAGCCACTATATTATCTTCTTAATTTTATTTGTAGGGTATAATGTGAGTTACTATTTATACTCTGTTTTGTGAGTAATAAAATAGTTATCTCTTATTTTTAGCTCGTTTCTGCTACACTTTTTCACTGCTCTACTAGACTATTGTTTAGTTGGTGATGGTGAATCGAGGTGTAGGGTTCGAGCTTCTCGTGAATTATTAAGATAAATTATTAGGTTTAATATGTTATTTGTTAAGTTTGAATTAATCATTCAATTTGTATTATGTTAGGGTATTGTAGATAGATAATATAAGTTATGGGCCCTGTGGGCTTATTTATATTTCTTTGTAAGGTAAATAAATGAAATGAAATGAAAATGAAATGAAGCTGAAGAAAAAACTGATTTATGAGCCATAAACTGACATAAAAATAGCAAAAAGCAGCGTGGACGGATTATAATAAAACATATACACAAAGTGGCGACAAAAATTGTAAATATTTTCAACTAACTTTTGTGAAAAGTCGAGTTGTTCGGATAATAACGATATGTAGTGAAAAAGATGTGTGCAAAGAACAAAATTGCTAATGAATTCAAAAAGAAAATCAGAACAGAAAACGAATTAAATTGTGGAAATCATAAATAAAAATAGGCACTGTGCATGAGAATAAATACGAAACAGAAAAATTATAGATATACGAAAACAAAATTAAATAAAATTTCAAAGCGAATTGTCAATGTGGTGTTTTTTTTTTCATAGTGGAGCAAAAGCAAAAAAAAAAATGTAAGCCAGTACTGCTAATGAAAGAATTAATAATGACGTGTTTTCGGTGGTTGTTAGAGTGCGACAGCATTATTATTGACCATTTATAAAAAAGTGAATGTGTGTTTTATTAATAAAAATAAATATTTGATTAATATCTATCGATAAAAATAGATGAACTACAATTTCGATTTGGTTGACTATCGTCTCGGTATGCGACGTAAATCGGTTTCGCATTGTGCAAATGTTTTTATTTGTTCAGATAATGTAATAAAAAGTATATGTTTACATACTGAAGTGACTTATGGGAAAGGAGCAAACAGAACAATATCATCCCCAAAAAAATTGTGCCTACAATTTTTGTAATTTGATACAACAATGACAGTGGCTGTGAATTGAAGTTTGACATATGTATGAAAAAATTGTAAGAAAAAATTGGGACAGACATGTAGCAACAGGGTCAGTAGTGTCTTCTTCACACAAAATTCAATGATTGTATTTCTTATAAATAAATAAAAACATATTTGTGAATGTTCTTAGAAAAATAGAATAAATGTTAAACATAAACATATGATATCAGGAAAAAAAAGTGTTAAATTAGTCCATTTTTTAGAGAAATGCAGACAAAAAAATATTCTATATTTATTATTAAAAATTTTTACTACCTTCTGAAAACGACAACAACAACATAAATCTATTTGATCAAGTATTGTATCATCTTGCCATTTTGGTACAACCCTGCAAATATTTGCACAAACAGTGTTGCCAAGCATAAGCTTGGTAAAAACGCTTATATTTGAATATAACTTTTCTTGCTTTGCAATTTTAACAGGAAACCACGGGATATAGGAAAGGATAGGATACTATAGTACTTTTAATTGAAATTAAATTGTCAATTCCTTTCCATATACCTCAAAGAAATTTTCATAAAGAAATCATAAAGGTAAATCTTGCAAAAAGGTGTCATGAAACATGTCATTATATAGCACAAATTGCAAGTACATGGTGAGATAAAACAAACTGCAACAAAGTCAGACGCCACAATTTTTAAATTTTTTTTAAATTTTATTGAATGAAAGCAAAAAATGTCGGAAATATCATAAAGTTTTAGAATAAGTTTGGATTTGTTCGAATTGGTCACCTTTGGCATGAATTATGGCCTTCAAACTGCTAATGAAACCGTCACACCCTGCCCGAATTTTGCTCTGCGGTATTTTGGCCCATTCATCGGCTGTCATGGCGGCCCACACCATCACCATGGCCGGCGCTTGAGTTCTGGTGGGCAACCGAAGGTGCACATTTTCAGCTGACTTCTTTGGCAGTTGTTTTTTTTATCGGAGAAAACCAAATTCGGCCCTTCACCACTTTCGGCCAAGCGAAGCTACTCTTTAGCTCTTTTGAGTTTATTTTCTTTCCATGGCGGTGTAAGTTCCTGCACGTTTTGGAATTTTAATACTTTTACCCCGAGCTCATTTTTCAACATTTGCCGAATTGAATATTGCTGCGACGCGGGTTTCGATCAAGTCGCTTCTTTACTTTTCGAACCATTTCTGTTGATGTTGCTGTTTTACGAGACTAGTGTTCATAAATTTGTTTATCCAACGTATTCAAAGTAGTTCTTATTGTGTACTCAAGTTGCTTGGTATTGTTGGCGGTATACAATGTCTTCAATAGATGAGTGCCTGTCATCACATTCGTTGCATTTTCTATTGTCCTACTTATTTTATGGAATTCATGCTGATTTTACGAAACTGGTTTCTGTTATTGGTTGTATATACATTCATATTAGAAAATTAAAAAATCCCTTTAAAATTGTAAATAATAATTAAAATTATTAAAAAATAATTAAAATCATTATAAATGATTATAAAAAAATGCATATATGTAATAGATTCAATTTATAAAATCTTCCAAACCGTTTTACCAGTTTTTTGTTTCACAAAAAAAACGCTAATTTGTGACATGGTGCAAAAAACGTTAAATCTAGTTATGACCCATTAACATTGGCAACACGGCATATATGTCACCTATACTTGTCTCTCTCTCTGTCTGTCTCTGCTCCGTGCAGACAAATTTTTCGTTAAGAGTTGTGTAAAAATGGTAGCAGCAATATTAGTAGTAGTAGTAGGAATGGCAATTTTTGACAAGTCTTTAGCACCAGTCAAAAAATGTGAAGAAAAATAAGAATAAAATAAAACATCATGATGGTTTCATGTGCAAAAAATTGAAAGAATAAATGACAAAACCCAACATGCATTCATTCTGTCGGCGGTTAAATTAAAATCTTTTTGTGTTTTCAGTTTGCTAGCAATGTGAAAATGTAAAATGAAAAAATGGCATTGAAGCTGCTATGTAATAAATGTGTATAGACAAAACCACAAAAAAAGAAAAGAAAAAAAAAAAAGAAGAGAAGACGACGTCTGTGAAAGAATAAATGTTAAATACGTTGCGACAAGAAAACTAACAAGTAAAAATGTTTCAAAAATAAAAAAATAAAAAAAGAAGAGAAGACGACGTCTGTGAAAGAATAAATGTTAAATACGTTGCGACAAGAAAACTAACAAGTAAAAATGTTTCAAAAATATCGTCAATTGTAAAAAAAAACAACAACCAAAAAATAAAATTCAATAAGCAAAGTGTGCTACGCCAATTTTTTACGTCGTTGTTGTCCAGGCACAAAGCTAAATGTGACTTTCGAAGGAAGAATTCGTTTTTTCGACCAAGAAGAAGAAAATAGCAGGCAGGCGAATTGTATGTGTGTGTGTATGTCAGCAGAGCAACAAAACCAAACCAAACCAAGTCATATTGTCGTTCGCTGAAAGCAGAAAAAAGTTTTTCTTTGCAGCGTCTGTTATGAAAACGTATTTTTTTGGCTGCCAACTCCTTTTGAGCGACTTTGCCGGTCGTTGCAAATATAGGTGCAGAATTTTCTTTTGAAAAGTCCATTGGGTGTATGGCAACCGATTGGCCTGGTGTCCGGGTGTATGTTTCATTGAAATTGACAAGAAAATAAATTTAATGGCATTTGTTGTTGCAATATCGCACGAAAAGACTGCTGCTGTCGCTGTGTCAAAGCTGCCACCGCTGCTGCTGTTGACAACGTCATCGTCGTCGTTGTTATTGCCATTGTCGTCGCGTTTGTCTCCTGTTCATAAAGATGAACAATGAAAGTATTAAGTCGATCACATCTAAAGCAATATTGTCGTCTACCACATCTGCAGCCACCACCAGCAACGCATCATCATCATCATCGCCACCATCATCAATACAATCGACACTGTCACTGTCATCAACAAATTCTTCATACAATTCGTCTTCATCGTCCAACTTTGACGCCACTGTTAACGCCATTACCGCTGCGGTCAATGCAAGTAGTCACCTGCCAGCCACCACGCCCCCAAACGCTGCTGTAGTTGTTGCCGTGGCCGTTTCATCGTTGGCAGCAGCCATTATACCTGATACTCCCATTGTTTCGATTGCCGGTTCGACATTAAGTGAAATAACTACAACAACAACCTCGACTAGAACCACACCTACACCGGTACCCACCAGCAAGGAATCGCCTTCGACAAATACACCGACAAATAAAAACTCCAAAATTACCAATAAGGACCTTGCAAAGAAATCGGACAGCCACTCATTGTCGTCCCAGTCATCTGCAGCAGCAACCGGCAAGGGGTCAAATCCAATGTCGCTGGCCAATACATCAGCTGTTACAGGCGCTGTCACTAACGCCACAACAACATCGTCACCATTAACAGCCAACAACAGCAGTAATGTTGCTGCAACAACAGCTGATAAAGAGTCAACAAAACAAATAACCAACAGTAATACCACAAAAGGATCTTCAGGCAGCAACGAATCAGCAGTGGTCAAAAAAGGGGAATCCACCTCAGCATCAACAACTGAGGTTTCTTCAACACCACCAGCATCGTCCTCATCATCATCACCTTCTCAGGCAGTTTGTAATGCAAACTCTGTTAGCAAAGCCGATGATACGAACACCAAAAATACCAATGAAACTAAAACAAAGGTAAGACATCATCGTGTGTTTTTATTATAATACCCTCCACCATAGTATGGAGGGTATATTAAGTTTGTCATTCCGTTTGTAACACCTCGAAATATACATTTTAGACCCCACAAAGTGTATATATTCTTGATAAGCATAAAATTCTATGTTGATGTCGAGCGATGTCCATCCGCCTATCCGTCTGTGGAAATCACTCTAGCTTCCAAACAAAATGAAGTAGGTTGCTAAAATTCTACTCAAATGTATATTATGTTTGCAGGACTTTTGGTATTGAAAATGGGTCATGTAGGTCCACGTTTTGGTGTAGCCCCAATATAATCGTACATTCCTATTTTCGGTATTTTGGTGATTTAAGCGACATTATTCACCGGAATTGTTTCAAATTTGGTATTTGACGTTCGTAATGAATAATATAGCCTATGACAGAAAATTGTCTGTGCGGGTCCACGTCTTTGTATAGCCCCAATATAATGGTACCTTCCCATTTTCGGTATTTTGATTATTTTAGCGACATTATTCATCGGAATTGTTTCAAATTTGGTATTTAAAGTTCAAAACGGATACTACAGCCTATGACAGAAAATTTTAAGTGCAGGTACACGTCTTCATATAGCCCCCATATAACCGCACCTCCCGAAATTCGTTATTTTGATAATTTTAGCGACATTATTCACCGGAATTGTTGCAAATTTGGTATTTGAAGTTCGTAATGGATACTGCAACCTAAGGCAGAAAATTGTCTGTGCAGGTCCCCGTTTTGGTATAGCCCCCATATAACGGTACCTCCCTATATTCGGTATTTTGATTATTTTAGCGACATTATTCACCGGAATTGTTGCAAATTTGGTATTTGAAGTTCGTAATGGATACTGCAACCTAAGGCAGAAAATTGTCTGTGTAGGTCCCCGTTTTGGTATAGCCCCCGTATAACGGTACCTCCCTATATTCGGTATTTTGATTATTTTAGCGACATTATTCACCGGAATTGTTTCATATCTGATATTTGAATTTCGTAATGTATAATACAGCCTATGAGAGAAAGTTGTCTGTGCAGGTCCACGTATTCGTACAGCCACAATGTAACAGTAACTCCCGATATTCGGTATTTTGATGATTTTAGCGACATTATTCACCGGAATTGTTTGAAGTTCGTATTGGATACTACTGCCTAAGACAGAAGATTGTCTGTGTATACGTCTTCGTATAGCCCCCATATAACGGTACCTCCGGATATTCGGTATTTTAATGATTTTAGCGACATTATTCACCGACTTTTTGTTTCAAGTTTCGCATTTGAATATTGTAATGGCTTATGACAAAAGTTGCCGGTCCACGTCGTCGAATTTTTAACGGATATTACTTTTTTTGAAAATTGCCAAATTCGTTCCAAAGCGTTGGAGGGTATTCAAAGTTCAGCCCGGCCGAGCTTACAGCTTTTTTACTTGTTTTTTTTTTTTTGAAATATTCATTTATAGAAAATTTTGATTTCAACAGCTACGTTTTGCACACACACAATCCAATGCACATGTACACACCGATATAACGTATGTTGCAAATAGTATCTGAAAGAAACATGTTTTTGGCTTAGTTTTTATTCTTTCTAACCTTGCGTGTTGTTGAAAATAATCGACTCTGCTGTCTGTATTCCATGCCGTTTCTGCGTTTTACAACTATAAAAGGTCATCACACCAAAATAGTAATTGCAATGTCAAAATAAAGTTTTGTGCTTGCTGTTGTATTATTTTTTTCCGAATAACGAACACGATTTTATCGATATATTGCGTTGTGTGTCAAGCAATGCTTCGTAGTAGTTAGTCTTATAATTCTATAACACTCTTGGGTGTTAGAAACTTAGTGTTGCTCCATAGTAAAAGTTGATCTACTTGAAAAGCATTCGGATTTTAAAATACTTTTAAATCTAAATGTTGGCTGCGAAGCTGGTTTTAATATGTAATTTATAATTAATAGATTTTTTTAATATAGCACTAAAAACTTTCTTTCATACGAAGTTATTTTTAAGGAAATTTAGACATAACATCTAGCAAAGCGGGTGATAACAAAATTTTCTTTTGAAAATAAATATTCTTCATGGGAAAAATGGCGAAAATAAACGTTGTTTGTAGAAAGGTGGTCGATAACAACATTTCTTTGTAGAATAAGTTTGTAGGAAAAAAACAAAGATGATGGGAAAATAACATCAAATTCAGTGGTCTCACTTTCAAATTTCCCCTACATAAAATCTTTTTGAACTTGCCGACTCTGATGCGGCGGAGTCTTCCTTTAGTTCAATTAATAAATGTTTAGGGTCTTAGAGAACTCAACTTCGATTCACAAATTCACATTTTATCGATAAAAACATATTTTTCGGGAGAACATTTTTCAATATCAACTACTACAGGGTAATATAAAAAACTGCAACAAATTCAAACGCCATAAGTTTTACATTTTTTTATACTCTCAGCCATATGGCTAGAGAGGGTATATATTATTTCATACGATCAAAACGTGCCTAATCGAAATAACGGTTTTAGACCCAAGGTCTCTTTGGACCAAATCCGTTTCAGGACATTTGAGTTCCATCTAGCGATGACCATCGGTCTGTCTGTCTGCCTGGTTGATGCGATTTGATCCAAACTTGGTACATCATAATATTTTTGTCAAACTTAGACCGAGTTCACTCCACTCCTTCTGGTTCCAACCCCACAAAAGGTCGAAATGGACAATATCGGTCCACTCCATCAAGTACCTCCTACACAAAGGGTCAAAATGTTGAATAAATCTACAAATTTCACACATCCCAATATTTTTACCAACCCCACGTCTGGTGGTAAAATGGAATATATCGGTCCGCTCCTTCTGGTACCTCCCGCACAAAAGGTCGAAATTTTCAAAAAATATTTTCTGCACAGGAAGCAATAATCCGATTTTCCTCCAACTTTTCATATCTTAATATTTGCGTCAGTATTAGTTCAGGTGCAAAAATGGACAATATCCGTCAACTACATCAAGTACCTCCTCCACAAAGGGTCAAAATGTTGAATAATTATAACTCTAATAAAAGGTGATGTCAGAATCCGATTGTCTACAAATTTCACACATTCCAATATTTTTATCAACCCAACGTCTGGAGGTAAGATGGAATATATCGGTCCGCTCCTTCTGGTACCTCCCACACAAAAGGTCGAAATTTTCAAAAAAAATATTTTCTGCACAGGAAGCAGTAATCCGATTTTGCTCCTACTTTGCAAATCCTAATATTTGCTTAAATGCTAGGTTAGGTTCGAAAATGGAGAATATCGGTCACCTCCGTCAAGTACTTCCTCCACAAAGGGTCAAAATTTGGAATAACTTTTATAAAATGTGATGTAAGAATCTGATTTCCTAAAATTTCACACATCCTAATATTCTTATAATCTGGTGTTAAGATGGACAACATCAGTCCACTCCTTCTGGTACCTCCCCCACAACACGTCGAAATTTTGAATATCCATTAAGCTCATAAAACTCAAAATTAACATCCGATTCCATTTAGACTTGGCACATCTTAATATTTCCATCAACAGAGGATATGTTATTAAAACGGTAGAGATCGGACTATTCCTTCTGGTACCTATTATACAAAGGGTCAAAATTTTGAATATCCATGAAGGTCATAAAACGCGAAATAAGCATCAGGTTCTCTTTATATTTTACACACCCCATTATTTCTACTAACACAAGATCTCTTGTGAAGATGGGATATATCGGTCCACTCCTTCTTGTACCTCCCCCACAAAGGTTCACAATTTTGAATATCTATGAAGCTCATAAAAAAGGGAAATTATCATCCGATTCCATTCCAGACTTGGTACATCTCAATATTTCTATCAACACAAGATCTGTTGCAAAGATGGTAGAGATCGGACCATTTCTTTTGCTACTTGCCTGCCAAGGGTTCAAGATTTTGAAAAAGAAAGCGAAATAAGAATTCAACACTCTTCAAATGTTACTCATTTTTGCTAATAAAATATCTGTTGTGCAGATGATATATATCTGTGAACCCCTTCTGGTGCCTCACTCAGAAAGGGTCACAATTTTCAATACTTGTATCTGTCATAATTTGCGAAACAAATCAGCGACTTTCTTGTAATATTGCCCATGTCAATATTTATATAGTCCAAATCTGGCACGTCATAATATTTATATCATATGTATTAAGGTCCGATATGAAATGGTCAATACTGGACCATTCCTTTAGAACCTACTCCATAAGGGGTTAAACATTTGAATAATCATAACAGAAGTCAAAATATTTTTAAATAATCGTACATTGGCTGAGGGTATACATCTGTCGGCAGAACCGATTGATACTTTCTAACTTGTTTTATCTATATTTCGATATTATTTTTTCGACTCTTGCGGTTCTGGAACAGAGTAAAATAATTTTTTCTTTGCAGTGTAGTTGGTATTTTTATTTAAATGTACTATTTATATCGAACGATTATTGTGCCGTCACTAATTTGCCCTCTCTCTCTCTCTCTCTTTTCAATTATTATTATTTTTCGTTTTAAATGTTTTTCGTTGAATCGCTTCGCCAGGATTGCGAATAAACAAAAACAAAGGCCTACTTATAACAAATTATTGATATAATCAAGACAAACTCCCATCCTATTTGTATGCAATAGTGTCTTTAGTTTGTTTGGCTGACTACCTGACTGACTGACTGTCTGACTGACTCGCAACACAAATGACTTCATTTTTGTTTCTTTCTTTTTTTCTTTTTCGTTTAGTATTTGTTTGGAAGTCATTTTTGTTGCAGTCATTTGTTTAGTCACTTTTAGCAATTTTGATTTGTTTTTTTACATGAATTATATATAATTAAGGAAAAAAAAAGAAACAAAAACACAATATTCTCTCACTCATACTGTGATGATGAAATGACAAATGAACGATAAAAAACGACAAAAACGAAACTGGAGAATTGGAGAGAAATTCTATTTGTAATTTAAAATATACCACACACAGCCAAGTCGAGCAAAGCAAAGCAAAACCGCATATGAATACCGTTAGGCGAAGAGACAGCCAGCAGCAGGGAGAAGTTACTCATTAGTTGGAATGTTGCATTTGACTACTACAACTCATTTTGAACACAAAAAAAATTTTCTTTAAATTACCTTTAAAAAAAATACCAAGAGATTGGCTTTAAAAAGTCTCAGCGTCGCACGTAGTTCAAGGAAACAACACAAAAACAATCAAGGATATTATATCTATGCGCGCACTAGTGTTTTTGGCACAAACGTTTTAGTGTTTTTTTTGTTTTTTTTGGGAAATAATTTAATTACCTTACCCAATCTATATTGCGAACACAAAAAAATCGAAACTGGAAAACTTGATACTGTGTTGAAGAAGCATTTCGTGATTATCTTCCAACCTCTTAAATTTCTCTTAACATTAACGGTTCTTTAGCAAAAATATAATTTTGTTCTTTTTTACTTTTAAAGTGAAAAATTAAAGCCAAAATAACTCATAATTTTGCATAAATATTTTTGTTGAAAAAAAATTAAATAATTCTTATATCAGTTATGTGTTATCATTTACACAGTTTGTGTGGTAAGTTTTGATAAAATTGAATATAATTCGAAAAAGCGCAAGTGTGTGTTATACCTATATACACGTACATACCATACTCTGAAAATATTCACATAGTACAGTGTTTTCAAAAGATATGGATGGGATATTGGATATTTAGCTTTGGAGGAGTTTTCAGTGAACAAATGTTGACATAGATTTCCAATCTTTGAAGAAAAGAATATAAAGAAGTGATTAAATATAGCCGATTTAAAATACAAATATTCTGTAGAAAAGTGTTTTATGAATAATTCTGAGAGTTAATTTTTCGGCAAACATTTTCAATAACTTTTTAAACCCTCTACCATTGCAGAGAAATACAGGTAGATATGTAGCTTTGGAGGAGTTTTCAGTGAACAAATGTTGATATAGATTTCCATTCTTTGAAGAAAATAATATAAAGAAGTGATTAACTGTAGCCGATTTAAAATACAAGTATTCTGTAGAAAAGTGTTTTATGAATATCCGAGAGATAATTTTTCGGCAAACATTTTCAATAACTTTTTAATCCCTCTACCATGGCAGATGAATACAGGTAGATGCATTAACGCTTGGGAGCGTTGATATGTCAAAAAAATTTTAAATGTTTTTTTCAAATATAAGTAGATTTTTATATTTTTTCTTATACCACGTCATTCGGAGGTTATTATAGTTCGCGTTTTTCAACAATTTTAACAAATTTAAATAATTTTTCATTCAACATTTTCAATTCCAAAATTGGTTGGCTGGTTCTTTGTCCCAGCAGCTGTGTCGATGCGTCTACCTATATTCTTCTACCATGCCCTCTACCATACAAAGTATGAAGGGGGGTATATTAAGTTCGGCATTCCGTTTGTAACTCATTGAAATAATCATTTTAGACCTAACAAAGTATATACACTGGTGGCCAAAACTAAAGCAACTAAAATAGCAAAGACAATAAATGCCCTGTAACTTCTACAAAAATGAACAAATCGTAATTATTTTTCCAGTTTTAAATGAGGTACTTAATTCACTTTTAAAAGACTAAAAATAAAAACACAAAAATAGTTTTGAATGAAAAATAATATATGGAAAACTAAAATGACCCAATTTTTGCTTGGTCAAAACTAAAGCAACTTTTTGATTTTTTATTTTGAAATAATTAAATTTTGGCTAGTAGTCGATAGCATCCATTATTTTTGATAGCAGCTGCACCCCTACCAGGCATTGAATCTATAACACGCTCAATTTGATCCTTGGGTATGCTTTTCCAAGCACCCTGAATTCTTTAGAAAATGTTGTGTTTATTTCTTTCCGAATCTCGCTTGATCTTCCTTGCTACGGTACTCCAAAGGTTTTCTATGGGGTTTAGGTCAGATGATTGTGCCGGCCATGACAAAACACCGATTTTTGACCACCGCAACAAATCTTTGGCAAGTTTTGATGCATGTTTGGGATCGTTGTCATGCTGAAACGCCCAAAAAAAACCAACTACTTTCCTCAGCGGAAGGGAACATCGTGATTTTTAACACATCTTTGTAAACAAACCGATCCATAACTTCCTTTATTTCATGGATAGGCCCAAGTTCACAGAAAGAAAAAAAGTTCCACACAATTTTTGTCCCTCCCTCATTTCACTGTACCCTTGCCACACTGCGGCTCGTAAAATTATTCATGTCTGAGCCTTTAATATTAAACGTAGACTCATCCCAGGATAAAATGTTTTTCCATTGTGCTGGATTCCGATTAATATTATCGTTTCTGAAAGCCATCCTGGCTTTCCGATTTTTTCAGATATAAATGGCTTTTTTTGATGGCTTACGGACATGCAGACCAGCTGCCACCACTCGTCTACGCACGGATCATGAGCTCAAATCCAATGATCTCTCTCTCACCAATCCAGTTGAACTCTTAAATTGTTGTTTTTTATTTCTCTCACAATTTGTTGATCAATACGTGCTGAAGTTTTTCACGGCCTTCATCCGTTATAGACTGTTACTACTGATCCAGTTTCAAAAAATTGACTTAGTATACAAGAAATCGCAGAAATATTTATGAAATATTTCTCGGATATCATTTTCTGTGATAGCTTGTCTTCATAGTCACTGATAATTTGCTGTTTTATTCAAGTACTGTATTTGCTTCTAGCCATTTTTAAACTATTTTTGAACAGTATTTAAAAAACGGAAACAAACACGTGCTGTTGTAGAAAACTTCTCAAATTGTTGAAGGAAGCGAAAAGCTATAAATATAACAGTAAAAACATCTGAAATTGCCGCGATCATATGAATGTACAATAGAGTTGCTTTTGTTTTGTCCACGCCAAAATCGGTTTAATTGACTTTACCATAAATTATTTTTTATATAAAAACTAATTTTGGTTTTATGTTTTAATTTTTTTTAAAGTGAATAAAGTGCCTAATTTAAAACTAGAAAAACTTTCGCTTTTTCTTAAATTTGAAAAAAGTTACAGGGTATTCATTCTCCTCGTAAGTTCAGTTGCTTTAGTTTTGGCCACCAGTGTATATTCTTGATCAGCGTAAAATTCTAAGACGATTTAGCCCTCTCCGTTCGTCCGTCTATCCCTCTGTTGTTATCGAACGTCCCCAACGCCACTCTTTCCCACCCCCAACCGGCCGTGGGGGCGACTTCCCCATTACCTAGGGATCGCGTACTCACCATGATCCGCCGTACCATGGTGGAAAATTAGTAGGCATTGAAATACCAGCTACAGAAAATACTTCATCAGCCGGTGGAAAAAATCTATTGATGATATTGATTTGATGATTTTAGCCACATTTTCCAATGGAATTGTTTGAAAGTCCACACAAAGAGTTTTTTCTGAATATATTACTCTCGGGCAGAGAATTGTTTATATAAGTCCACGATATCGTATAGCTCCTCATACAACAGTACCCCCGGATATTTGATATTTTGATAATTTTAGCCACATTTTCCAATCAAATTGTTTGAAAATCCACACAAAGAGATCTTTCTGAGTACTTTACTCTTTGGCAGAGAATTGCTTATATAGGTCCACGTATAGCCCCTCATACAAAGGTACCCACCGATATTCGGTATTTTGATGACTTTAGCCACATTTTCCAATGGAATTGTTTGAAAATCCACACAAGGAGTTCTTTCTGAGTACTAGACTCTCTGGAAGAGAATTTTTTTTATATAGGTCCACGACATCGTATAGCTCCTCATACAACGGTACCCCCGATATTCGGTATTTTGATGATTTTCGCCACATTTCCAATCGAATTGTTTGAAAATCCACACAAGGAGTTCTTTCTGAGTATTAGACTCTCTGGAAGAGAATTGTTCATATAGGTCCACGATATCGTATAGCCCCTCATACAACGGTACCCCCGATATTCGGTATTTTGATCATTTTAGCCACATTTTCCAATCAAATTATTTGAAAATCCACACAAGGAGTTCATTCTGAGTACTTTACTCTCTGGAAGAGAATTGATAGGTCCACGCATAAAATTCTATATCGATTTAGCTATGTCCGTCCGTCTGTGGAAATCACTCTAGCTTCCGAACGAATTGAAGTAGTTTGATAAAATTTTACTCAAATGTATATTATGTCTGCAGGACTGGTATTGGTATTGAAAATGGGTCATGTAGGTCCACATTTTGGTATAGCCCCTAACCCCCCTCTCAATATAACGGTACCTCCGTTTATTCATTGTTTTGATACTTTAAGCGACTTTAATCACCGGAATTGTTTTAAATTTGATATTTTAAGTTCGTAATGGATACTACAGCCTAAGATAGAAAATTGTTTGTGCAGGTCCACGTCTTCGTAAGCCTCCATATATAACGGTACCTCCCGACATTCGGTACTTTGCGATATTATTCACCGGAATTATTCTACCAATGTTTTTTTTATTTATCTATAATCGAAATGTTTATGTTTCTTTATTTTATTTAGGATTCTTTATCTGAATCATGGGAGGAAAGCCGTCTAAAAGATTTGGATGATAATAAACTCCGAGAATTATTAGAAGAAGCCTATACCTATAAAAATCCAGGAGATAAAAAAAACAAAAGTGAAACCTTCTTGGTAAGCAAAACAAACAACCAACCAACCAACCAACCAACCAACCAACCATTTAAACGATTTACATTCAAAAACTAACAACAATTTCTCTTTCCCTTTAGAAATTACTTGAGAAAGCAGAAAATGAAGATCAATCCCATTCATTTCGTGCAATAGCAACAGGTGGATCCCGCAACTTGTCCTGTTCAAAAACGTCCAACAATTATCATCATTATCAGAATTCACATTCACATAGCAATAATCACAGTCGGTCCCATCGCCATCATCATCCCCATAATCTCAAGCAGGGTGGATCCTTGCAAGATCTTTTCGAAATTGGTTTGCACGAATCGCTATTGGATTGTGATCAGGTGCTTGGTGGTGGCGGCATTGGGGGAAATCCCAGAACACGACGACAAAATCACAATTCGCGACAAAAGAAATACTCGTCGTCTGTATCGTCGAGGCAACGTGAAGGCGGCAGCCTGCCCAGCAATGTTAATGTAACACATCAGCTGAGTGGTGGTGTTGGCGCTGGCGTTGGACATGATTTAGCATTTATGCAACAGGAGGGTACATCTACGGCAGTTGCATCGGGTAAAGCTGGTAAAAAGGAAAAGAAACTCAATTTGGCTAAGGCAGTTCCCGTTGCTACATCGTCGGAAACTAAGGAATTTTCAAATACAAATAATACATTAGCTGCAACAGTGACTGCAAGTGGTCCAGAAGATACAACAACAATTTTTGATTCACCAACAAAATTGACCATTGAAAATACAACAACAAAAAGTGATACTACTTCATCGGCAACCGCTGCCGCCGCAGCCACAGCCACTGCCCCTACCCCTGCTGACTGGACATTTGCCGCAAGTGGTGGTGATTTTATAATTGACATGGATGAACCTATGATGGATATACAACAGCAACAAAAAATCTTACAAAGTAAAGGACCAGATTCTGCAAAACAGGTGAGTTCAATTTTTGTTTTATTTTATTTGAAAAAAAAAAGAAAATAGTATTATTTTCTTCTCTGTATTCCTTAAGGGTCAGTCGTATTATGAACGCTTGAACAGTGTCGATTTAAACAGTGTAGTAATTGGTCCAGCCAAGGGAACATATTTTGCTCCCACATCTTCACAATGCTATGTCGATGAAACGTTACGTTTTAATGCCCTAGAACGAAATGCTAACAACAGCAACAACAACAACAACAATAACGGCAACAACAATACTCCAAATGCATCAACTGTGGATGCCAAATTGTTACCATTTGATGAATACTATAATTCGGTGTTGGGTGTTGGTGGTGATGTGGCCGCTTCTTGTGGTGGTGGTGGTGGTGGTGCTGTTGCTGGCAGTGAAGTTGAGAAATTATCAGAGCTTCTTGGAAAAACAAAAGCTAATTCAGTAAGTATTGCATTAAAACTTCTCCTGAAAACAATAACAAATAACTTTGTTTTTTTTATTTTCCCCACAGATTTATACGAAAATTTCTTCACCTGCCTCTGGTCCATCGGTTTTGGCTGGACCCCAAAATAACATTGTTAGCTTAAGCCAACGCCACCTTGATGAAAACGGCAATGCTCTTGGTGAACTCTATGGCAATTCGGGAACGACAGTTACCGGCGGCAACACTGTGCAAATTAATTGTGTTTCTCCCACAGCAGCGGCGGCCGCTGCCGCCGCCGGCACAGCTGGTAGTGCTGGCATACTATTAACCTCATGTGGCAATAATGTTTCAACATCAGCCACGGTGACAATTCCTCCCCATCCCTCATCCACAACTGTCTCAACATCGGCCACAATAACAACCTATGCTTCAGGGCCTTCGCAGGCGAAGGCCAAGACAAAAAAGAAATCGCAGCAGGAACGCAACACAAAAACTGTAGATGTAGAGTCTGTGGCCGGTTATAGGGGCAAAGATCCTGTTGAGGATTTGGTGAGATACATAGAAAGTACCGGCGAAGGTGGTGGGACCACAAAATCCGGTGATAAAAAAAAGGAACGTAAAAAGGACAAGGAAAAGCATCAGAAACTTAAGAAAAGTAATTCTCTGGAAGAATTACGTAGCGGTGCTAAAATGGAGGTGCATGAATTGAAAAGAACGGCAGCCACCACGGAGAGTAATAATGCGGTTGTTATGCGTCAAAAGGGGGCTGCTGCTGCCACATCAGCTTCAACGGGAGGCAAACAAAATAAAAATAACTCCGCGTCCACTGCGGACATAAACAAAAATCTCGAAACTAAAACAAATAATTCGAATACACGCAAAAGTGATCGCCGTTCTTGGGGTAACGAAGATCTGAAGTATTTGGAAGATCAACAAAATGCCAGTAATAACAACACTTTAATGACAAATGAAGAGAAACCCATGGCGAATTCAAATACATCAGGTAATTCAACGAAAACTGAGAAAAAGAAATCCCTGAGTAAAGAGGACAAGGAATTCAAGGATAAAACGGCTGAGCGCAATGAAAAGAATCTAAACAACAACAACAACAATAACAATGTGATGTTGTTGTCCTCAGGAACAGGAAGTCAGCCAGAAAAATCCGAAAGACGTAAACGTTACGATACTCCACCCAATGCCGTTACCATTATCGATATTGTACCCATGGAATCTTCTTGTCCCGAAACTGCCGAATTCCATGTGGTGACCAAAAAGAAAAAACCCAAAAAACCAAAGGTCATGGAAGAAACCACCACGGTGACATTTAATCGGACGCACAATTTCACCATTTCACAGAAGTTATCATCCACCTCCGCCTCCTCCGCCTCCTCCTCACAAACAGCCACAAGTCAGCAACAACGTTATAATAAATATTACCAACATGAAACCAACGCCAACGTAACAACAGGCGGTAATTATCACCAACACAATTCTGCACAACAACAACAAGCCCAACAAAATAATGAAACATTTAACAATACTAACAACAACAACAACAACAACAATGATAAATCTAGACGTAAATCAACTTCATCCGTGCCACCATCAGACAAATCTGATTCAAGTGATCTCGACTCGGTTCATTCATTGCCAATTGAATCGACTCAAAAACCCAATGCCTCGGCAATAACAACGGCAAAAGAAAACCAAAACAAAACAAAGGGCAAAAATCCAAATCCCTTAAATAAAAATGTACCCATTTCTTATGCGGATATAGCTAGAACTAATAAGGAAATAGCTGATGCGGCGGCCGCAGCCGCAGCCGCTGCTGCCGCCGCCACTGCTGCCCAATCAAATAACATTGGAGAGCCAAACAATCCCGAAACCAAAACTAACGAAAGTCATACTCATCATAACCCGGTAGCCGAAGAAGAAAAACCCAAACCATCCACAAAATCCCGAAAGTCCCAGGCGGCCAAGCAAGATTTTCCAGAGCTAGCCCCAACCGCCGTGACATATTCCCAAAGTTTTGCCAATCAGCAATTGATTACAACAGCTGCAAATGGTGGCAATGAGGAAAGTCACAACAAATCCTCTTCGCCTCCGGAACTACCACAAACAGCAGCCGCAGCACCCACGCAACATAATCCGCCTCCTCAGATATTACAAAAATCAAAGAGCGTGGAAAATGAATCAAGTCCTCCTCCACCTTCATTATCATTATCAACGACGACGACGACGACGGCGGCGGTGGTGGTGTCTTCTTATGTGGCCTCTTTGAATGGCCAGAATTTAGATCAGCAATATCCTGCCTTAGAAAAAACCGTTAAACGTCATAGTTCGGCAAATGTGGCCATGAATTATTCTTCAACATTGACTGCCAGTCATCCCCAGTCAGCAGCAGCAGCCGCAGCAGCAGTATCATCATCGTCGACTGCCGCCGCAGCGCCAGCTTTTAACTTTGCAGCAGCTGCTAAACAACAAGTTTTGGCAAATAATAGTATTGAAAATACCACCACACAACACAGCAAAAATGTAGCCTTAACTACCTCAACAAATACTGCAACAAGCACTACAACAAATCATCCCACTAACACCAATACCTCTAGTAACACAAACACAAGTAGGAAATCCAAAGAAAAAACTCCACCCATTAATGCTACTAATTCCAATAATCCCAATGAGACTAGCAACAACAACAACAGCAACACCAATACTATGAAAAAAGGATCCAAGAAGGATCGTCAGCAACAACAGCAAAATCAAACCATTGAGGCTTCTTCCAAACAACAGCAACAATTCACTACAACATCAACTTCCAGAAAATTAACAAGGAACCAATTAAAATCCTCCAATTCATTACCCTTAAATTCGTCCACAGCATCATCGACTACATCGTCGACGACGACCGCAACGGCAACGGCGACACATCTCTCCACCACCAGCAATCCCCGCCCAGCTGTTATAATTTTAAATGATGATCGAAATCCATCGGCAGATAATCAATTTACCTTTGGCGATTTCAATGAGGATGAATTGAAGCTGTTCGAGGATGATGTTGTGGCCGATACAAACAACACGACCACCGATCTAAATGAGCATGATTCAAGTGAAGCGACCGCGGCACCATCTGCCTCCAAATCATCGCCTACATCAACAACATCATACTTCAATGATTCGGGGGCTTCTTGTGAAAATGATTTGGTGAATAATTCAACGCCAGATATGTTGTTAAACTCCAGTGTTGAGGCATCTTCTCCCAACACATCCTTTGTGGGCGGCCACAGCAACAATAACACCAACAGCAGCAGCAGTAGCACTAATCTGGCCAATCATCACCATCATCATCATCATGGCGCTGGTGGCCACAACATGACAACCACCGGGAAAAATAATCAATCAAGTGATAGTGGCATTTATACCGATAAAACCAAGACCTTATCATCATCGTCGTCGTCATCATCATCATCAGCCTCCTCCAATAATAATATAAGTAACAGCAGCAGCAGCAGTAGCAGTGGTGGTGGCGGTGGCGTGCGTTCTGCCTCAGTGAGTGCAGCCAACAAAGATGTTGACAACAAATTGAATACGTTCCTTTCCAATACCAAATGTACAAGTGTTCATACATCGCTGGATAACTTGGATCCACCGCCGCAGCAATTAGAGACTTGTAATGATATTGAAACAGCTATCATTGCAGCAGCCAGAGAGGCTGCAAAACAGCAACAACAAAAACAACACAAATCACAACAAACACAATACAAAAATGCAAATTCTTCAAATTCAAGTTCCTTTTCTTCATCTTCATCAGCAGCAGCAGCAGCAGCAACAGCTGCAAGAGCGGCTGTAGCATCATCATATAATAATATACACACCTCCAGCAGCAACAGCAGTAATTCTTATCACCATCACCACCAGCCACATCAACAGAAGCAACACTGTAATGTCGCCGATCGTAATAACGATGATGAAGATGATTATATTAATACACCACGTAGTCGTAGTCCTAGTCGTCCAAGACGCCTAGCCATACAATTTATACCACCAACAATGGCAACAGCGTTTTCCACACAGCAGCATAATGATATAATTATTGATTTCATTGGATCAGGTAAGTGGATGTTTAAGGCCTTTAATTATTTGTCTTTCTATAAGGGTTTGGGGAAAGGGTTTTCATCCGAACAGTCTTTTATACACGGAAACTCTTAAATAGGTCAATTTTCAAACAATCTTTTATGTACGGAAACTCTTAGTAGGCAACTCTTTATGAGGTTGTGCTTCGTACCTTGTCACACATTATCCAAAGACCATAGATCGATTAGCCTCCCTTCGTTTCTAATAAAGGTTTTAGGAAGGTTATTGGACTTGGAAATTCGTTGAAACGAAAATGCAAATGTAATAAGTACATTGCAGCACGACTGTCAGCAGAGGCAGCCGGCAGGGAGGAGTTCTCTCACCCCTGCTTTGCGCGGTTGTAAGAAAAATAACCACTCCACTCGGAGACCTTTTGGTTCATTGTGTTCATCCTAATTAGGAAAATACGAGAATAAAACAAGTAAAAAAGCTGTAAGTTCGGCCGGGCCGAACTTTTAATACCGTCCACCATTTGGTACAAATTTGGCAATTTCCAAAAAAAAAAAATCCGTTAGAATTCTGTTAAAACCTTAAAAATACCGAATGCTTATACGACGACGTGGACCTGCATAGGCAACTTTTTTCATAAGTTATTACAATATTTACATGCGAAACTTGAAGAAAAATCTGTTTATAATGTAGCTAAAATCATCAAAATTCCGAATATGGGGGGTACCGTTATATGGGGGCTATACGTAGACGTGGACCTGCACAGACAATTTTCTAGCATGGGCTGAAATATCCATTACGAACTTCACATGCGAAATTTGAAACAATCCCGGTAAATAGTGTCGCTAAAATCATCAAAATGCCGAATTTTGGGGGGTACGGTATATGGGGGCTATATGAAGACGTGGACCTACATGGCCCATTTTCTGTTTTATGCTGCAGTATCTATTACGAACTTCAAATACCAAATTTGGAACAATTCCGCTAAATAATGTCACTAAAATCATCAAAATACCGAATATCGGGGGGTACCGTTGTATGGGGGCTACACGAAGACGTAGACCTGCACAGATAATTTTCTGTCTTACGCTGTAGTATCCCTTAAGAACTTCAAATGCCAAATTTGAAACAATTCCGGTGAATAATGTCGCTAAAATCATCAAAATACCGAATATCGGGAGGTACCGTTATATGGGGGCTATATGATTTCTTGGACCTACATGGCCCATTTACGAACTTAACCTGCCTACTGGCAAAATATACATGTTTGCAAAATTTTAGCCTTCTATCTCTATTTGTTCGAAAGATAGCGTGATTACAACAGACAGACAGACGGACAGACAAACACACAGACAGACGGACATGGCTAAATCGTCTTAGAATTTTACGCTGATCAAGAATATATATACTTTGTTGGGTCTGACATGAGTATTTCGAGGAGTTACAAACGGAATGACAAAATTAATATACCCTCCATAGTATGGTGGATGGTATAAAAATAGAGGAATGAATAGCGAAGAGTGAAGAATAAGAAATTGTATAGAGAATAGAGAAATTAATAGGTTAGTGTCCACGGAGTGTTAACGTGTCATCTTTAGCCATTTTAGTCGACTGGCTAACTGAAGAATGACTGCTGGCTCGGTGTCGGATTACAAGTCCGGCAGAATTTGCTTACCCAGTAGCCTCTGTCTCGCTCCTATAAGAGTTGGGCAGTGGCAGAGTGCTCTACCGTCTCAGTTTCTTCATCTTCCTTACAAAACCTGCAGTATTCAGTATCGTCCCCCCCATTTGGATGTTATGGCCTTCATGTTGCAGTGTCCTGTAATTAGGCCCACCACAAGCTTCTTCAGGTCCAGCTTCGTCATGGATACAAGTGACCTTGACCTCCTTTCGGAGTTCACCGGTCAGATCTTCTTGGAGATATTACATCACCTTCCAGTTAACCAGTTTTGCTGAAATTTCCCAAGATAATGCTTATGAAGAACTTGGAAAAAGTGACATAGTGGTGGCTTCACTGAGCTCTCAATCTCTAGATCTACTGACTCAGATCCGCGCCTGGCCAATTCATCAGCCGATTCATTGTCAGATATGTTGCAATGTCCATGGACCCAATGGTGGTGTAACACTGAACCGCTCTTTAAATGCAAATATCTCGGTACGATTCGGGAACAACGTTTAAAGGGGTAGAAACGTCGAGAAGCGCACCAAAAAGTGTCTCTTTGCAGGAATGTTATATGAAACAGCTGATTTATACGTCACAGTGGTATTACCTGTTTTGACCCATGGGTGGGTGCCTTGTTTTGTGGCACACAATTGAGTTGTAAGTCGGTCATATCCAAATTAACCACCGTGGAGAATGAAGTGCCTTATGAATAAGCTCGAGGTGGGTCTCAGCCGATTAATCTACGGATTGGCGAGACTGGTAAACCACCAATAAGCTATTATGTAAGCTGTTGCAAAAAGGCTCATTTCATCAAAGAAGCTGTCGCTTGTAAACCGATTGGAAGGTATTTAAGACTATCTGGCCGGCAATCTGGGAAAAATAAAACAAACTGACTTCAATCACTTAATAAATCTGACCTAAGATATAACGATTGAGCACTGCAATATCAAATGGAATAACAGTGTTCCTGACTACTGGTAGACTATGTAAAGATGTGAAGAAGAGGGAGGTAGACACGAATGAACTCCTACTATACCTATGTCCCAAGTTATCCAACAAGAGACATGGACTATTTGTTGTTAAGTGGGAAATAGAAACGTCTAGAAGCGCACCAAAAAAGGTCTCTTTGCAGGAACGTTATATGAAACAGCCGGTTTATACGTCACAGCGGTATTACCTGTTTTGACCCATGGGTTTGTGCCTTGTTTTGTGGCACACGATTGAGTTTAGGGTCGCTCATATCCAAATTAACCACCGTGGGGAATGAAGTGTGCCTTATGAATAAGCTCGAGGTGGGTCTCAGTCGATTAATCTACGGATTGGCGAGACTGGTAAACCACAAATAAGCTATTATGTAAGCTCTCGCAGAAAGTCTCATCTCATCAAAGAAGCTGCCACTTCTAAACCTTTTGGAAGGTATTTAAGACTATCGGGCCGGCAATCTCGGAAATATAAAACAAACTGACTTCAATCACTTAATAGGTCTGACCTAAGGTATAACGACTGGGCACTACAGTATCAAATGAAATAACAGTGTTCCCGACGACTGTAGACTGTGTAAAGATGAAGAATAGGTAGGCAGGAATGAAATCCTACTAATCAGATGTCCCAAGTTATCCAACAAGAGACATGGGCTATTTATTGCAGGAACGCTATATGAAGAGCTGGTTTATACGTCACAGTGGTATTACCTATTTTGACCCATGAGTGGGTGCCTTGTTTTGTGGCACACAATTGAGTTTAGGTCGCTCATATCCAAATTAACCAACGTGGGGAATGAAGTGGGCCTTATGAATAGGTTGCTCTTTTTGGAATTTCAATGGCTTTACCTCGAGCTCATTTTTCAATATTTGCCGAATGGACTATTGCGATATGCTCAGCTCACGAGCCATTTTTCGACTACTGCGACGCGGGTTTCGATCAAGTTGCTTCTTTACTTTCAGCGAACCATTTCTGCTGATGTTACTGTTTTCTTCCGTCCACTTTCTTGACGTCGGGCTTTTACGCTGCCAGTATCACGATAACGAGTGATGCTACGTGACACAAAAGATTTATTCACATTTAAATGCTGGAGTGCTCTAACGAAAGCCACTTGTGGTTTTACAGCTCAATATACAAAAATCACACTATCACGCTTGATATATATTGTTCCTAGGATGAATGAAGCAGCTATCGACTTTCGTGTACCTGCGCATCCTTAAACCAAACCACAAATCCATGAATAGAAGAACTTATAAAGTCTGTCCATGTATTTTTGTAAACAAGTACAGGTCGCATTTATTGCCCGATCTAGCTGAAATTTAGCAAAAATCATTTCTTAGGCCCAAGGACGAACCCCATTGAAATTGGAGATAATCGGTCAAAATTTATATATAGCTCCCATGCCTTTTTTGTGCACCAAATGTGTAATATTAGCCCAAATGTTATGGAATTTGGCACTTGCGACAAAATTAGGCCTGAAAATAAGTATGCCAAATTTGATCGAAATCGGTTCAGATATAGCTGTAGCTCCCATATGTATTGTTCATCGGATTTGTTTTCTTGCCTTCCTCAGCCGTAATATGCACTCTATAACAACAATATTTGGGGAAATATATCAAATACGGCTCAGAAATATCTTTGCCAAATTTTATCGAGATCGGTTCAGATTTGGATATAGCTTCCATATATAACTTGGTCCGAATTGCTTTTTATTGTGCATCAAGCGTGTAATATTAGCCCAAATGGGATGGAATTTGACACTTGCGACCAAATTGAGTATAGAAGCTTGTATGCCAAATTTAATGAAGATCCGTTCAGATTTGGATATAGCTCCCATGTATAACTTCATCCGATTTGCTTCTTATTGTGCATCAAACGTGTAATATTAGCCCAAATAGGATGGAATTTGGTACTTACGACCGAATTGAGTGTAGAAGCTAGTATGCCAAATTTAGTGAAGATCGGTTCAGAGTTGGATAAAGCTTTCATATATATCTTTATCCGATTTCAAGTTAATTGCGCATCAAATGGACAATACATGCCCGAATTGAAAAGATACAAATGCTTCGGCATATTTAGTCCTTTGTACTTCAAATTATAATTATAATCATAGCTTGTATGATTTAATTGTTATGTGAAGCTCTACTAAATAGGCAAAGTGGTGTAGGGTATCATAAAGTCGGCTCCGCCCGACTTTAAGACTTTCTTTACTGGTTATCTCATACATTTTTTTTTTCTAATACGCTCTCGCTACTTTTCGTTTCAGCTTGGGAAGAAATTGCCAATAGCAAAGTTACAAAAGTCTACGATGGACAATAAACGATAATACAACAACAACAACATGTTATAACTGATAACCATCCCTTATACAACCTGAATGGACAACACAAAACAAGAAAGTATTTCAGTGTGATGTTGGATGGATGGATCCTCTGACTAACGAAACCAAACGCATGCCTACCAGCATAGCTAAAACAACAAAACATTTAATACGAATTTTATATGAATGAATTAGGCCATCAGTAACAACAACTACTAACACACTACAAGAGACCACCACGGGTCTGGTCTTGAAAAAGAAATCCGCATAATTAAAAAAAGTAGAGTAAAGCGCACGGGCAGCAGCAGAATCTGCAGAGCACAGGAACAAAAAAAGTAAAACAACCACAACAACAAGAAAATCACACGGAACGAACATAAGAAATACTAAACAAATCTAAACATAACAAAATGCTAGCGTATGTATAATTTAAATTAACAATATTAGAATTAAAAAAAAAAAAAATAAAATTAATAAAACAAAACAGAATTAATAAAATTAAATTATAATTAAAAAAAACAAAGAGCTACACTAAATCATAATATATAAAAAAAAAACAACAAAATACTAAAACTAAGTAAATGATGAAAAAAGATAATAAGAAGCTAAAACAAACAACAAACAAACAAACTACCCAGCAAGAATTAGTTATAAAATAATGTATTTATGTTCATTATTATTATCATTATTATTATTACTTTTTGTTTTTTTTTTTTCCTCTTTTCTTTTGATTTTTAATGCTTTATTTTTTCTTTTTTTTTATTTAATAAAAACGCATCTTTAGTTCTTTTTTCCTACCTCCTCCCCCCCTCCCCATCATTATTTTAAATGTTACTACAAAACGAATTCACTGAATTAAATTAAATTTAAAGAAAAGAAAATCCCAAATTATAAAACAAATTACTACTTTGAGCCATTTTTTTACAAATGTATATTTAAAAAAACAAAAACAAAAAACAAAAGTATGAACCCAGGAATTAGAATGTATTTTAAATAAATAAAACAACAAACAAATTATATAGGCTTTAAATTCAATATACCAGCAGTATTTATTCATGTAATGTTGTTGTGATCATTTGGAAATGATCATCGATTATATTATTGGTTTTCAAAGTGCCTATAATTCAGGGGTCAAATTCTCGCGAACAAATTTGCTTTCGTATATGCCCATTTTAAATTCATGAACATTTTTTTGGAGGCCAACGGGGGGATAATAGTCGCTCGTACGATATTGAAAAATTTCGATCGAGATGCCCTTCTTACATTGACGAAATTGAAAATGTCGATATAAACAACTGGAGAATCTTACTCTCACATACGATATCTAGTCGTTCTCAAAAAATGTTGAATTTTATTTGTACGGATTTCTAGCTATGTTATACACTACAGGACTTCAACAGTGAAAGGTGAATGAGTCCAAAGAATATTGGATTGTTTTGGGGAACAAAACATTGGCAATTTTTAGGGTGTGATTAAATATTGAGATAATTTTTTTTATTTCTGATTGTTCGTCCCGTACTGGCCGTAATTTTCAAATGTATAAAAGTTATCTATACATAAACGACTTCCTGCATGTCTACTATACATTTCATAGCTGAGCAAAAAATATGCCTGGACTTATAGCATACGCAGCCCCCTGTATCTTCTTCAATCTTTGATCCCAAATCATAAGTAAGCCTGAGGAGTGAATAGATCCTGAAGTACCTTTTATGTAGCAGGTCCCCACATTACTGAAAAAAACGAGAAAGCGACGATTTAGCAAAAGTAGCACGCCACAGAACCACCACACAACCAAATTTTAAAGCATCAAAACTAATTTGGCTAGATATTTTCTTGTCAGAACTTTTTCGCTGTTGAATATGTAATGAACGTTGCCAAGACTGCATAATGTGTAAGGATGATGAAGAGATAACAACGATTGGACATTTATTATCGCAAATGTCCCTCGTTGGCACGCTGAAGACTACGAATTATAGGCGACCACTCCATTTCCAGATTTTCAACAATATTATATTAAACGTGCTAAAATCAAACCAAGATGCAGCGGGTTCAGCATTATTTTCAATCGATGTTTGAAGTTTCAAATGTTTGTATTTTTAATAGAAAAAAAAAAAACCAAAAAAAAAAAATTAACATTTTAATTCAATATTTTGAATATATTCAGAGGAGAAAACCTCAAGCCCGGTCAACGGCCGCCTACTTACAAAAATTATGAAATTTAGGTGCAAGGACATACCCAAAGGAGAAAATCTCAATAATTTCGCACACCCAATCGTTTTAAAGCACACCCATTATTATGGGGATTATGTCCGCAACTTTCTGGGGATTGTGACCGAACCCCATAATGGAATGGGGATTATGTCCAAGAAAACAATAAAACTGCAATGGGGATTATGACCGCGTGGGGGTTTTGAATTTCTCATTTTAAATAAAGTGTAAATGGCCAAAGATTAGGTGATGTCACAAACCTGGCAATATGACCCACGATTGTACATATATGACGCAAAACCTTACGAATTTTGCATTGAGTCAGGGTTAGGGTGAGAATAAAAATCTATAGGGCTTGAAATGGACCAACAAGATATTTTCCAGATTTAGTAATCTGTCAGGTCATAACTATATATCCAATAGGCGCCTAATTTAAACACAATAATTTTCTCCATTTCAACTTGTTTATTGTCAAAATCTGAAGAAGCTAAAAAATTCCGATGTGATTCCGATTTTGTGACATGCCTATAGTTTCGAAAAACAAAATGTTAAAAATAGGGAACGGGAAAAATCCCCTTTGAGTATTTATTCATGATTGCCCTAATCTTCAAAAGCCTCATTCTCTTTGAACAAAATTCTCCAAAAGTCATGCGACACTTTTAGTTTCCAGTGTCTATTTCGTTTGTAATAAGAAAAGGTATTCGGTTTGGATCATTTAATTGGAACACAGAATGTTTGATGCAAGTATTAAATACATTTTTTATTGCGACATCGTTCAGACTCTTAAAAGGTAAATGCGAGTTGTGGATCTAATAGAACTGGAGGAAAAATATACCATTTCATTAAAAAGGTTCTGAAATATCGCACAAAGTGTTTATTGATGACCTCTACAAGGCTTTTTGTTAAAAGCTGTCTTTCGTTAAACGATACCCTTTTGAATGTATTTGTTGTTAAGAGAAGATCTCTAGTCTTGCATGTCTCAAAAAGTCTTCCTATCTGAAGTCCTAATAAAGGCCTATCATTTGAAGAAGAGAGAAAAAAGAAGGTTTTTTTCTGTAGAAGATATCTCTTAGCTATAGAAGACATACAGATCTGGAAGAAAAGTTCGTAAAAGAATTTCAATAAAAGGCTAAGATTAGAAGAAGACCTCTAAAAGCATTTATCCCAAGGGCTGTCTTTCGTTAAAAGTGACCCTCCCGAATGTTTTTTGTTAACCTAGACCTAGATTATATTTGCTTATGGGACCTTCAAAGTATGGAAGGCCTTACAGGGTGAGATGAAAAAAACTACAACAAAGTCAAACACCATAATTTTACATTTTCTTAATTTTATTAAATGAAGCAAAAAAATGTCGGAAATAGTATCAAATTTTAAAATAAGTTTACATTTGTTCGAATTGGTCACCTTTGGCACGAATTATGGCCTTTAAAAACGGCCAATTAAACCGTCACACGCTGCCCGAATGTTGCTCTGCGGTATTTTGGCCCATTTGGCCCGGCGAAGCGCTTGCTTGAGGTGATCGACACTTTGGTATTTTTTAGAGCCAACCTTGATCCACACACAATACTCCAACGGATTGGTATCTGGAGATTTGGTGCGCTGGAAATGAGGCGAGGAACCTCATTTTGTAACCATTCTTGGGTCTTAAGACTGAATTTTATTTCTTGCTTTTATATTTTGTGATTCAAAGTAGCGACAGCGTTTGCTGACGCTGCATCGAATTATTGTCTGGGAATGTGGATACGAAAACAAAAGTTTTAAATATCATTTGGAACTTTTGTGTTATGCTTAATTCAACAAAAATAAGTGGCAATGGCCGGGACGTAACTCGCGTGCTGAGTCCCCTTGGAATGCCCAAGGCCGAAATAATTACCTGCCTAAATCTTTAATACACTCGCCAGAATATTTTCGCGATAATATTGGGCATTTATTTGATGCCACGGTCGATTAATACGAGCGAGCGATACGAGAGCGACCATCGGCTGTTATGGCGGCCCACGTCATCACCATGGCCAGCGCTTGAGTTCTTGTGGCCGGCCAACCGATGGTGCACATTTTCAGCCGTCCTGATCTCTTTGGCAAGTAAACCCGATAATTTTGTTTGTTTACAAACTGCTGGACAACGAATGTTTCTCATCGGAGAAAACCAAATTCGGCAGTTCAGTCCATTTTCTTTCTGTTGCGGTGTAAGTTCTTGCATATTTTGGAATTTCAATGGCTTTAAGCCGAGCTTATTTTTCAATTTTTCCAAATGGAATATTGCGATATGTTCAGCTCACGAGCCATTTTTCGGTCACTGCAATGCGGGTTTCGATCAAGTCGCTTCTTTTTTTTGAACCATTTCTGCTGATTTTGCTGTTTTCTTCCGTACGGTAACCAGCGATGGTACGTGACACAAAAGATTTATACACATTTAAATGCTGGAGTGCTCTAACGATAGCCTCTTGTGGTTTCCAGCTAAAAGTATAGAGAAATCACACTATCACGCTTGAATTCCATCACGAATAACTTTTTTTCTGGAAAATTCTGACAAAAATGCTTTTGTACGCTTGTTAACAATATAATGAGCTATCACTGGAATAATTTTAAAAGCTTTCGGACGAATGGCTTAGAAATGACAGCAGCCTGAAATTGGTTGCAGTTTTTCCATCTCACCTTGTATTTGGAACGGAGAATAGTTTATGGCCATTTCTTGCAGTCCTAATGCCATTGTTCTTAAATCCGGGATAGGAAGATCTTTGAAATGGAAGATAAAAAGAATGGGTTGATGGAAACGTGCTTGCATTGCTGAAGAATGCTGGAGAATATCTATGGTTTAAAACAGTGTTTTTTATTTATATATATCTCGAAGATTTTTCAAACACCATGAAATCCAAAATTACTTTGAATTGATTATTATTTTGAATATTCTTTAATTTTTATGTTTTTTTTTTTTTGTTAATAATTTTTCTTTCTTTTGTTTGCCCTGCCTAAAATTTATGACTAATTTCTGCAATTTTTGTATATTTTTATGTAATTTGTTGGTCCGTAAAAAGGCTGTGTGTATTCTTTATTCAAAAATATAAATAAATAACAAAAAAAAAAATTAAAAAAAGTGTCATCTTCATACAAATTTTGTTAATGTGATTTGTGTTGCAAGCTCCCGATAACGTTTTGAAATGCTCTTCTTAAAAAAAAGAAAAAAAAAAAAAAACAATTCTCTGTGTATGTGGTTGCATAATTGTATTTTGTAATTTTCATTTAAAATAATTACTAAAAAAATAAATAAGTAAAAGGAGTTACGAATTATGTTGTATTATTACAATCATTATTTTTTTAGGTTATATCTTTCTGTTTAATTTAATTTCTATTTGTTTAATTTGTTGTTGTTTTTTGTTTATTGCTTTAATTTTATCATATATATACATAGAGGTTAGCTAATCTTAAGCAAAGAATAGTATATAACATTTTTTCTTCTCTATTATAAATATATTTTATATTTTTTTGGAAAATAGTTATAAACAAAAGAATAGATGAAATGTAATGAGAATATATTAACTCCTGGCTTATATTAATATTATAATATATATACATAATTAAAAATAATAATAAAACTTAACTAAAATATAAATATAAATAGTCAACATAATTAAAAAAATATATTGATAAAAAATAAATAAATAACCCTACAACAACTACAGACAAAAAATCAAATAAGGCAAGAAGCGTAAATTAAAAAGAAAAAACAAAAAAAACACAAATTAAAAAAAAAAGTTTCTTAACAACAGAATCTATAAATATATACATAAATATAATCTGCAGTAATA